GATATAGTTATATCTATAACATTACGTAGGATAACGTAACTTTTATTTCTTGTCAATATTAAGTTCCGTTTGTTTCTTAAATTACATCAGGAATAAATTCGTCGTTGTGCTGTGATATATATTCTAATTTTAAAATTATCATTATCAACGAACGGTATTAAAAAATTGATTCCAGCTCTATTATACTGTGATAACAATTGACCAATCTGTCAAAATCTCGCTTTATTAAATTTCAATAATTCTCACTCTCTTGTTTCAACGGCAAATGATACAAGTCTTCCAAATCTAACTGTGAACTTATTGTATTGATTATCAATTGCTTTATTTTATTTATAGGGTGGTTAATTTACAAATATGGTGCCTTCACTTTCTATTGAATGGTGTATCCAATTCTGTTACTTGAAGGTTTTGGTATATATGGATCTATTATTTTATTATACACAAAACTATCATAGAACTGCAAGATTCTTATACTGAACGTTACTAGTAATGAAGTTGGTAACATCGAATTAATTGTTTATCGTTAATCAGCTAATCCTCTCAGAAATAGAATTTTACGATCGTATGTCATGACATTATATTTTTATGCAATAAACTCGTTTACAAACTAAATCATAAACATTTATTGTAGAGATTAAATTTATTTCAATGACTTAAAATTTCGATATGTACTTGATTTTTTTAGAATTAGTTGTCAATTTTAAAATTCTCGAAACGGCTTTTCAGGTATTTAAAAATGATTTTGTGAAGATTTCTTATTAAATCAATAGATATTTTCTTGAGAACTTCCGAAAATTATTATATTTTCTTATAGAAAGTAAACACGCAAACGAATAATCCATATTCAATCATAAACAACTGATAGCCTCTTTCAAATGCAGGACAAGTCAAGCAATATCTACGCTATATTGTTTCATTGCATTAATTTGAACTGATACATTTTTGTAATCCGGCACATATTTATTTTCAACTGTACTTGTGTTTGATTTGTGAATATGTAAAATTTTTATATGCTTGGCCTTACTGAAAGTTGTATACGATTTGAAAACGTTATAAATGCGTATCAGCGATTTAAAAAATATTGTGTGAAGGAGGTTTATTGAAGGTAAACAGGTCTTTTAAAAATTTTTTGCTACAATGGGCTCATTGAAGCAACCATGATTATCAAGAAGTCCATGATCAATCTTGATCATCTCAAAATAGCTAATGTGTAATTTTTTGATATTGTCATAGCGATCGTTTCGATCAGGATATATAGGCTATATTGGCTGAATAAATATCATTAAAAAGTAATAATACCATCCATCTGTGCCGTAACTATGCTAACTATATCTAATATAAATATAATGGACGCTTTCATGTTGCTAATAGTATAGTATCCGCTGGCATTGCTAGAATTTTGAAAAAGAACTTGTACCTGATATAGACGATTACGTAGAAGGAAATACTACCTGAGAAAGTCAAAATGGCTAAAATTAAAAAAAAGAATGATAACACAGAGGATGATCTTTACATGTTCCATTAAAAGATTTTGATTTTGCTCTGTGTGCTTAACGAAAACCTATATACAATAGCAAACAGAAGTAATAAAGTTGTTAAAATCCTTTAGGTTCGCTTAACCGAGGTTGAACTACAAAGTTATGGTTTTTCTAGTAAATTATCATCCAGTATTTATTAATTTCCAAGATATCTATTATTTTACCAAAAAATGCTGGCCTTTATGATAGCCAAGGAATAAGATTAGTAAGTTGTTCGCTAATCAATTAATGGAATAATTTTGATGCTGATAGAGTAAGTAAACCAACCTTAACATCAATATACAAAAGACAGCGCCACACTATTACAATATAAAGTAATTAACATCCCAATAGTGATGATGAAATGTTATATTAATTATTTTTAGTGATTATCGATATTATATTGCATTTTATATCAGATCGACAGAAACACTTCAAAACGTTTCGAATACACTTGCTATTTTGATAGCTTTCATGAATGACAGCTAGGCTTGTTCTTTAGCATGCAGGCCTAAATACAAATAGTTCAATAAAATAAGATCACAGATGCAATTTTATCCTCACTTTAGTGATAATTATTAATTTGAATGGTGGAATCAACGAAAAGTAAAAAAATTAATGAATTATTAAAGCCAAGTCAATAAAGGCTTGAGCTAAGTTTACTAATCAATATAGTATCGCTGCTTTTGTTGAATAATTAATGAATATCATAATATTGCTACCCAAAATAAAGAATTATACAAAATGAAGACGGCAGCTAGAAATTTATATTTCCCAAATAAATTCAACTCAATTGCTCATATAATAGTAAATTTTGTATATAGTACTTTAGCCTTGATTACCATTTAAACTTTTCCTGCAGATACTAATTAGTATTTTATCTGTTCTGTACAATGTAGAATTATTTACGCAGGGAAATTGATTGAATGAGTTTAAGCAGGGATGGAATGCAGCGTACCAAGATTTAAGAAATCGGCAAGCGGTTAATTTTTACCGAGTAGACTTGTAATAATATAACGATACTTTCAGTAATTTACTTCACTAAAAGATACAAGGCAGGTAAGAATAATTGGCCTAGCTACTTTTTGTATTGAAGTAATTACAAAGCCTAAAGCTAATTTTTATAATCTTCATATATCCATAAGATCATATGTATTATCTTTATTGTCAGTCTATTTACATGCATTATTTTTATTGAAGACAAAAATTTAATGTGACGTCTTCCACTGTAAACAAGTACAAGTCATAGTATAACAACGCCTGAAAATTGTTCTTAAAGGAGACAATGCCAAGCCGTCGACTGGAATTGTGTTTTAAAATTGATAATATCCTAGAAAAAAAGCATGGTCACACAGAAGCATTGGTAGTAGTTCGATTGGTACCTAGAATACTGGAGCTATTAGTGTAGAAAGATAGTTAAATAAATTTCAGGTATAATGTAATGATCCATTTATGAATTTCCTATATACTTTGAGTATGTACTGATCATAAATAACATTAGGAAGATCATTTTAACAAATATCGGATAGGAAACTATTTGCTACCTGAAACGTATCCTTTCACTCAATCATGAATAGTTTTTTTGCCAAACTTTTCCATTACTGTAATATAATTTGATAATATTTATAATTCAGTGTTGTAAGCTTTGAAAATAGGCTTTAGGTCACTGTTTAGAGATGATTATTCTGTTTTTGAAGTAGCAAAATTAAATAATTTGTTACAAAATTTATTTTACTATGTTTCATTGCCTACCTATTATTTGCAGCAATTCAGTAAGTTCGTTGAAGTAATATTAAAGAACCAAATACTTTCTGCTATTTTAGCTGCATAATTTGATAGCTTTGACGTCTGTAACGTCAATCCGATTGAAAACATGAGAAGTTTAATAAATAAAGAGATAATTACCGCGCTATTCTATCAATTTAATTTGACGATAACCTTAATGATAATCAAAAAATTGTACTTAATCGACTCCTAATCTAAGAAATGGTCTAATAGCAGCGATAAAAACAAATTTTTAAATCTATGCATTTATTAATTCTACGATATAAACAAGTATAGAAACTAGTTTGGGTATTGATAATTTACTATATTCGATATCAACTACTTCAATATTTATCTTCTTATAATGAAACCAATACAAAGTAATTATCTAATTCCCTACATATTTCTTTTACTACCTACATGTGTTATTTATTTAAATTTTTTGATTTATGGATAGTATGTCACGATAAATAAAGTCAACTGATCAATAAAAATAATGCAGTGGAATGGTGTCAAAATCTCAGAAAGCTCTGTTATATTTTTTAGCTGCAAGGAATTCTTCTCCAATAAGGCCATTTGCAAGATTTTATTTTCTTTCTTACCCATATAGCGCTTTATCGATGAGGATAACTCTACCCCCTCTCTATCTTTTTCAATGACGACAAATTATACGTAGTTCTGATAGTTAGCCGATAGCATGTATTGTTTTAATATTTTTCTATCAACTGAATAGCGTTACTTTCAACAAGAATAATAAATTATTTAAAATAGCTTCATTGGATAACAAAGTTATTAATGATAATAAATACTACACGGTATGTACACTATTAATGGCATTAACTAAATTGCAAATTTACTATTAGTATCATTCGATTTGAGCTTGATATAGGCACTTTTCAGAGTCTAATTGATATCAATATACGAGCGTATCAAGGCAGCATTCGCTGATTTTATCAATAATTTTTACTTTGTCGCTTTTGCAGCATTAAAATTGAATTCATCGCACCACAGATTATTACTCTATCACCAGTAAAGCGCGCTACGGTAGTTATTAATAACATTTTTATATTAAAACCAACAAGAGCTATCTTTTTCTTCCTCGAAATTACCCGCCTACAATACTTTATCTACATGTAGACCGTACTATATTGTTTGACCTATTGTGTTCTGGCTATAACGGTACAAAACAACAAAAGTAAAGGCAATGCATGTTCATCATAATAAATAAGATCATTGTTTGCGAGTATTTTTTTGGCTTGCTGGCTAGTAGAGAAAATGTATGGAATAGGATAATTGCCTCTATTCTATTCATTTATAGATATTACTCGGTAAATAAAATTGACTCTTTTCAACTTAGTAATATCCTAACGTTGAAAATACAATAGGAACAAATTAAGTAATAGAGTGCAACATACTGTAGATTACTACACATAGCCTGCCTAGCTATAAGAATCCATTCAAAATGAAAATGAATAACTATAACTACCATTCAATACTTGTCTCCAATCTACAGTATATTCTGTTGGGGTCCTTGTTTTAATACAAATCATGAGAAAAAAATAACACATTTAATGCTATTTTCTATCGTTGGACGTAAGATTCTTTGTTTGAATAAAAGCAGTAACTCGTTCTATTTATTTAATCTATCAAATTTGATGCAAGCTTAAAAGCTTCAATTCTTGGTCACTAAAGGATAAGTTCATTTTTAGTCAGCCAAAAATGAAAGCTATCGGCTTGCTGTTTGTAATCGGAACATTTACATCGTATTTAGTTGATGGACATATTCGGTTAACTTATCCGAAAGCAAGACAATATGATTTCGATTTTTTAACTAATCTTACCACGAAAAGTCCCTGTGGAATGCCAGAAAATGCCATGAAAACAACTTTCAAGACTAAGCTAATAACTGGTTCCAATGTTGATGTAACATGGCATATGGCTTTATCGGATTGCGGCGATTTTAAAATTCAGCTACTATTTCTTAATGGATCGATTGCATATGAATTGGCGCCTAATAGCAATGCCAATTCTAATCCAGCGAAAAATATCTCAATCGTTCAAAATTACACTATTAGTTTGCCTAAAGATTTTTCTTGTCAACATTGTATTATTCGCTTAATTCATTATGGTGCCGATAGGAATTTTTATCCTAGTCCCTACTCTGTTTGGAGTTGTGCTGATGTTGAAATTGCTAAATTTTCATGTCATGAACTTAACTGTTATAACGATGGCATCATAAATCATCATTGTACTAATAATTTGCCATTATGTTTCTGTACTAACAATACTGCAACTGGCGAACGCTGTCAGTACCAATATGAATGTCAAAATGAAGCAGATTGCAATAATAATGGTCGTTGCTTGATCATTAATCAAAATTATAACTATCCACTCAAACAGTGCTATTGTTTACCTGGTTTTTACGGATATAAATGTTCTAAAGTCTCCTCATTGACCGTTGCAATGCCAGATGATGTCTCAAAGCATACTTATTCCGAACTAGATTCAAACAGTCGAATTTGGTATAAAATAATACGCCAGAGTAATGAGATTGAAGTTATCCACCAAGCTAAAACTATGAGCTGGCTGGGATTGGGTTGGCGTCCACGTGAATTAAAACAATCGTGTCAACTTTTCCCAGCTGGAGCAGCGCAAGGATTATTAATTTCACCAATTAACTCACAACCAAATAGTCAGACTGATAAACGGGTAAATCACTCCATGGACTGTATGGATATGGTAATTGGGAGTGCTCGAGGTAATTTATTTCGTTTATTCGATTATTATTCGCGCGATCGTAGTTCACCAAGGGAGGATTCATTTTATCAAGGTAGTGACAGCTTAACAGCTGCTGTCGGCATTGAAATTAATGGTATCACTACATTGCGATGGCGTCGAAATTTAGTAGCTAATGAAAGTAGTGATCATAACATAACCAATAGCATTATGGATATTATTTATGCATATGATGCAAAATTGCCCCAATCTCTTCAATTCCCATCAGGTTCTCAGAGTAGTCCACGACAAGATAATTATTATGATTTGGATGAGTTAAAGTATCACGGCATGACTAATCGCGGAAGACTATCGCTGAATTTTTTCGACGATGCACGGCTCCATACAAGTGCATGTTCAGGTAGTTGGAGCACCCAATGCGGTAGTGGTGAGTGTCTTAATCAATTAACCTGGCAGATATATGGTGACGGAACAATCCATTTTGAAATGGCGTCTAAGACCAATAAATGGATTGCATTAGGTATTTCACATGATAAAAAGATGAATGCTTCTGATGCCATAGTAGGATGGTATGCTTACAATAAGCCAACTATAACAGATCGATATATCATAAATACTATACCAATTATTGACATTCAAGATAATGTCTATTTAATTAACGGATCTCAAATAAACGGTATCACGACGTTGGGTTTTGCTCGTAACTTAACAACCACTGATCGTATTAGTGACATCAGTTTACAAGGATGTCATTATTTCTTTTATGGAGTAGGAGGCGATTTTGATCCTGGAACGAAAATTATATCAAAGCACCCAACGATACCTCATATAACTAGTCGAAAGATTTGTATCAATGGTAGCCAATGTTTACAACATAAGGCTCCAAAGTTTGAAAAGTTAACTTTAAAGGCTTGCTCAGGCCAATGGAGAACTGGATGTTTTAATGGAGATTGCCAGAGTCGAGTGAATTGGAATGTATATAATGACGGAACTATTCATTTTCAAATGAAGTCGAAAACCGATAAATGGGTTGCTCTTGGCTTTTCTTATCAGGAAAAAATGCCCAATACAGATGCTATCGTTGGCTGGTATTATAATAGCACGCCAACATTAATGGATAGTTTTATTGATGGCTATAAAACACCAAAGGTAGATGCTATCAACGATGCTTACCTTATCAATAGTTCTAACATTAATGGCGAAGTTACTTTCAATTTCTATCGTCATATTATTACTGGTGATTCACAAGGGGATACTATTTTATTTGGCTGCAACCATTTTTTCTTAGCAGTTGGTGGCGATTTTAATCCTGATACTGGAATTTTAAGTAAACATCCATTAAAGCCAAGCATTACATCGGAAATTATTTGTATCTTCCCAAGCATATGCTCAGATGATATTCCACCCGATGTTGGTGCTCGAAAAGATAGTCTTGTCTTTGATAATTGTTCCGGTAGTTGGATTACTGGCTGTGATATTGGTATCTGTCAGAATCAACTCAATTGGAAAGTGTATAAGGATGGCCGAATTGAAATAACAATGGCATCAAGAACTGATCGCTGGATTGCTATGGGTATATCTGACGATCGCCATATGAATAATTCTGATGCTATCGTGGCATCGTTCTTAAATGATGCTCCTACAATTTATGATCGCTATCTAACAGTTAATACTAGCAATCACTATGCGCAGATGGATTCTCAGTACAATCAAAATGTCTTTTTAATAAGTAGTTCGATTATTGATGGTCGTGCCACTTTTCGTTTTTATCGTAATGTGACTACTAACGATACAGAAACAGATATCAGCTTAGAAGGATGTCATTACTTCTTTTTCGGGATCGGTGGTGTCTTTCGGCCAGGTGGTGAAATTACAAAGCATTGGTCAACGCCGTTTATATCATCGCAAAAAATCTGTATTACCAGCAGCCAATGTTTGGATAGTCCTCATGTTAATGCTGCTCATAGGCCCGACTACGGAAATTATAAATTAATAACGCTTATTGTTGCAGCTTTAGTGGTGTTATTATAAAGGCAAAATTGATGGATTTGAAGCTACAGATTTATTGCAGCTAAAAAATATCATACAAAGTGCCATAATCGATCCCCAACTCTGGAAGAAGTATAAGCTTTAGCTTATTTGCTTTACCTGAAATGTTGTCCAGGACATTATTCGTTAAAAGAATGTTAACGTTTATTTTTCAATAATGCATTAACTTTCGATCGCATACCAATGCTAAAATCGAAATTTCTTTCGTAACAACGATTTTTACTTCAGTAATGATGAATAGTTATTACTTCAATTTTTAATGCCTTTAAAGAATATGTCTATGTAAACTGTTTAGGCTATGGCCTAGTATGTCTAATATTGCGTTTTAGAATTCTTGACTGTTATCATCTTTACTAACGCTCACTTTATTTATTTATGTAAAAGATTTAATTGTTGCACAATTAGTTTGCTTGGCATTTCTTCTAATCTCAATTATGAGGATAATTTAATTACATAAAGGTGCCAATTCGATGCCATATCCGTTCATTAAATATATTCGAATTGCCCTTGGATTAGATCCTCGGCCATTCGTTTTAATATATCGATAATTTATGAAAGTTAATAATACTTTAAATGCAATATCATACTACTATCTTAGCACCAGAATATGCTGGTTTGCTTTATAAATCTGCTATGTTACAATCGCAATATGTAATGGTTACTTTAGTAGCTTCCTTTGTTGTCCGGTATGGGCATTAATTTTAATTGCTAAGATTAATAAGCGGTGAGCCTAATAGTAACAATCGCTATGCTCTAAATTACTGAAGGTTTACGTAGTTATACAAACATACATGCATGACTACATTTATCATTCAGTTTCTGACCATATGAAAAGTAATCGCGTACGCAATCGTTATTCCTTTGGTGATTCATTTTTTTCGCCTAGCAAACAATAATGACAATAATAAATTTATCTTGCCCAAAAGTTAACTTAGAAGGTTTTGTCTTTGATTGTCTAAAAATGCAGTAATATATACGCACTGTATATCATATACCATAGTAAATATGGTAGAATATTAATAGAAAAGATTTTGCATTATGTTCGCTGATGAATAATTAATATAACGTTAAAGGATAGCGCTTAAGCGATGACGAAAAATTTTTGATTAACAAATATCGATATCAGGGAGTAGTTAAGTAATACCCACAAGCTTGAAGTCGAAGGATTGGAATCGTTAATATCCTATTTCTATACGGGTGGAAGAGTATAATAGACTCTACTACTTATTTAGACATTATAGAGATACCGATATGAGATAACTAAAGAAATTAAGAGGCCTTTTTATCATACTTATAGAAAACTTACACATCAGTTCTCCCATAAGACATTAGGTAAAACTTTTGGAAGCAAAGTGAATATCCTAATCCTATGCAGTCGTAACGTAGATTCAGTATAACCTTAGAGTCTCGTATCGGGCACGAATATAATATAAAGATATTTGCTTGTAGCTCAAACAAATCCGTATATGAAAAAATTTTGACCTTTCAGAGTTCGTAGCTAAAACTTTACAATATACGTTATAAATGGCTATAGAAAATATGCTCAAAATTAAATGGTTTGATGACAACATCTTTTATCAAACCGTTTTTGATTGAGTGTTTCAAAGATAAGTAATTCTTGATGCCTTGTTAAAGAATACTTTAAAATATAAATTAGGCCTTCTACCAATAAGTAGCTGTTACGAATGGTGGTTTGCACGTAATCTTACATACTAAACTGTAATTCTTATCAATTTTAGTGCTATATGACAACCGTCTAGATTAATCAAGAATCTTTATGATCCCTAACTAGTTGTTAAAACGATCAGTACTACTATTCGCTTTCATAGCGCAACATCAAAATGCTCGTTAAGACCGTAAATCAATTTGCCTGTGCCTTAGAAACAAACAAAGTAATACAAAATCGTCAATGCATTAAACCAAATGTTATATCCTCAATGTGCATCAGTGTTCTTACCGAAAAGAAAATGATATAGTTATAGAAAAATTAATCTGACAAAACGAAAGAACGAAATAGAATTCAACAGGCAATGAATAGGTTTTTAAAATGCGGTAGAGCAAATCTCCCATGAATCTAACAATGGTTGACATGGCCCTAAATCTTAGAAGTAACAATTAATATCAGTTTTTCTGTCGGAGAAGAATCCTATTTATCTTCTCCGTGCAAGAATAGTTGAAATAGGCTAAGATAAACTGGATAATAGACTTGCACTCTAGAACAACAATTCTCTACAACTAACAAAGAAGACAATCAAAAAATCCTGCACAATACTCTACTCAAGAGTAAAAATTACATTAGTACAATATTCGAAAACGGAACCATATATGGCTGTCAGTTACATTCATTTATACACATAATGTGAATAAGTTAGTATAATTACACTCTTTCATCACACTAGTCGTAATCCACAATATTATATTTATATTTTGTAAAGCATAAATGTACTTTTAACAGACGAGACTACTAGATATTCATTGATTTATACAATTATATCTTAAAAAACTTTTAGTCTGTAAAACGATTTAATAACGTATTTATTTATTCGTTTTAGAATTTAAGAAATCGTATGCATTCGTTTAAGAATTAAAAAAATTGTATTTTAAATCAGGCGTGAATTTTTGGATAGTTCTAAAAATCATATAACATATTATAAGTATCTTTAATTCAATACAAGTAGCAAATCGCATAGCAAAGAATGGATGTAGTTTGCTACATCTTAACGCTATTACATGATCAAAAACATGTGCACAGAAGGTTTCTTATGACTTTGTACGACAAATATTAGTTACTGTTAAATGAAACAGATGAAACTATACCAAGAAGTTTCTGTAATTAGGCAATTAACTAGAACTGTACCAAATAAGCAACTGCTAATGAATAGCTAAATAAGGCTATAGGTCGTGTGTGTGTCATACTACACCGTTATCAAATAAGTAACCGTTAATTAGTCAATAATCAAATAAGGCTATATGTTGTGTGTGATAGCTTGTAGCTATCTAATGATGAGAATATTTATTTACATATTTAGTAATGTATTATAGTGATAACGCTAACTTAATTCTCACTAATTAACACTGAAAATTCATTATAAAAATCGATTTAAGCGTGTGTATTTTTAGGAGTAAATCAGTAGTTAACTCAAGAATAGCGCAAGACTCGTACAGTGAAGAATGGTGTAATATATTCTGTTATATGTGGAGTTCAACTGAGAAATCAAGTTGTTCTATATCACTATCATAGAAACTGGAGATACTGGAAGAAGTAAATCGAGTTATTAAAGTTACACGAGAGATGCTTTACTTCGTTAGTTTACGTTTCCTTTGTCGCAAGAAAGAGTTGTGACAACTTGTTAAATATATCAGCTATAGTAATAATTAGAGACAATAGTAGCTACACTATCAATTTTACTGCGATTACATTCATTTGTAAATTGAGAATAGCTTACTCTACGATATCGGATGTTAACAAACTAAGAAAAGTGCATCAGCTGCAGATTGGTTAACAAAGAGTATTTCAAATATTTGATTGATTTCTGATCACAAATTTAACTTCGTGAACGGTCCCAAAACTAGTCGTATAAGAAACAAGCAAATGGTGATGTGCTCGATCTCATGTATCCTTTCCGGGCATTAATGGTGCATTTCAAGAATATACAAATTTTAAAATTCATATACGTATGTACAGTAAGTATGGAACTAAAAAGTTAAAGCTAGTTACAAATGAATGCAATGTTATTATTCACTGAAATATTCCATTGCAAATCCATACAAATTAACTCATGAATAGACAATACTAAAACTGTATCTGAAGGTAGGTTATATAGTGTTATAACCTACGTTATATAGTATTATAACCTACGATGGGCTCTGACTTTGAGGTACTCCGACTCAATTTCCAAATGTGCAGTTACGGTTACGTCCCATTATACAGCAATATTAATCAAGTGCTGTGAGAGATGTCGCGTGATTTTAGCAAGAATATTCTTACGCGTATTCAAGCTCCGCTACTTGACATTCAAATAATTTATATAGCATTAAGTTAGGTTATTAGTTCGAAGCTACACCAACGGTCATAACTGAAATTTCAGTGATACGCTGACTAAAGCAGCTTCAATATAAAATTAGCGTTACAACATTATAAAAGATAGTACTCTAGCACTTTCGCTAATTACTATTAAATGTTTTAGGAACACTTTCTTATTAGATATATTTGGTCGTTAATGTAGCTGTTAATCGCGACCAATGTTGTATGAAATGAAATTTAAGGGGAACGGATCATGCTATATTACTTAAAATTTTATTCTATGTTAGATTGTTCTAAAGTCTTGTTTGTACACAAAATAAAAGCAGTATAAACAGAACAAAAAATGCCTGTGTTAGTAAATAAAATATATGAATAAAACCTCGTAATTTGCCAAAGTATGAAGATCTTGCAAGAAGATTGAGTGTAAAATTTAGTAGAATGTTCTAAAGCAGCTTTAAATATTACATATATCCAGCATGAGTATTTTAGATATACGAAGTATCACGAGTGAGATTTAATTTTACTTCCTACAATAGATTTTAATATTTAAAGCATGAAGCCTTTTTGAGCTATCCTTTCTTTTCATTTATAAATTAGTAATTAATATTTCTATCAAGGTCCTATTGGTCTAAAACAATCACATTTTCATCTCATAACTTTTTTATCAGGATTGAAACTTAATAGGAACTTATTGTATATAATAGACTGGAAAAGATGCTACGATAAGATATGGACGTTGAAGATGAAAGTAAATCCAGCTTATACGTTAACTAGTGCTCTAGAATAAGATCTCGTGTTACATTCTAAACTTGTGACATTTATTAATGGAACATTCTAGATGTAATTTAACTTCATTACATTACGGTGCCTTGTTACCGTAACACTAATACTACCACGCTCTATACAGCTATGATAAATAAATTTTTAGGCAGAAGAATTGTTATTAAATACGATGATAGTACAGTAGGTAATTATTATATATTTAGAGTTATTAATATGCTTAATGCATCTATTACGTTTATGTACTATCACACGCCATAACATAGTTATCATGCCTGCAGCAACACAATTACACGCGTTTTATATTTGCCTAAAATACACATTCTCACATGTAACTTACTGATAAGCAAGCTTCATTTGCTGCAATTTTAACGGATTTTTGTTGTTAAGTGAATAGTTTGTAGTTTTTTTCTGAGTCCTTCCTATGAGCGGTATAATTTTATGTCAATCCTTCTCTTACATTTCTGCCTTCATCTTGTACTTATATGAGACTTACCATATGTTTACATATACTGACTCAAGCTAGCAGATTCATATTATCTATTAAATCTGCTTTTTCTTTGTTACGTTGCAATATTCTAATAAACTGTACGTTATTTTACTCGCTATACAAAATTTATTACTTAATTCAAGCAGTATTACAAACTATACTATGCTTACGAAAGTGTGATAAATGTAAGTTTGTAACATAAAATATGAATGATATCTGTAGCTATTACAATTTTGATGCTTACCAATTTTTATGTAAAATTGGACTAACGTGTAATGTACATTGTACAATAGCATTGAATGTACTGTAGAATGTAGACGAATGTAATAATTATAATTGACTTATATGCGAACGGCTCATTTCCTTCCTTCCTTAGAATAGAAAGCAAGCTTGAAGAGAAATAAACATATTATTCGAAAATAAAATTTGCTTATAGAACTATATATCAGTGCGTGATATTTATATAGCCATCCAGATTTTGATAAGGCTTATGATTGCGCTATATCACTATATATCTTAGCGTTAGAGTAACTGTAGTTAAAATTGTTTGAATATGGTAATTGGGATATTACGCAAGCTGTAGTCGTTATATTCTAGAGCAATCTTTAATTTCTGACTTTTAGTACGATTAAGTAATACAACTACTTCATGATCGCTACAGTGCAAGTTACTATAAACATTATTTTGATTGTCAAAGTACACTCAGATACTAGCATCAATCGGCAATGAGCGTATATTGCAATGAAGAATTACAAGTTTTTTTTTTTATTAAAAAGGAATAAATATTGTAATTTGGGATGTTTAGGTTATCGTGTTTATAATTAGTACTGATATGTGTACTGCTATATCTAAGAATGAGTATGTAAGTGCAGTATCAAGTGACTTTTAGAGAGTTTTAGGATCGTTTGCCTCGAAGAAGGTTTATAGTTAATTCTTGGTTCACAAATCTAAAGTATACATAAAAAACATTTCTAGATTTAACTATAGTCAAATGTCCGTCGATCATGTTGACGATCAAATAACTGTAGCTTTAATACCTTCAGCAGAGCGGTTAAATAGTGAGCCCTGCAAATAGCAAGAAGCAATGATCTTCAAGATTAAATAAATATTATAGATAATAAGAGTTCTAAGGCTATTGCAGTAAATAGTAATTCTGAAATTTGTTGATCATTAAAACTCAGTTCGGTAATTAAATTTATTATCTATTAAGAAACGTTTTCAAGAGCTTTCCACTTAATCATTCCGACTTGCTACATGCTATTTTGTAAGGGTGGTTAAGCTAGTCAATTATTGCCTATTGCGGTAATCTGTAAACATCGTATTGAGACCACTAATGAACGATAAATACCGGCTACCATAGAAATAACCAAATTAGTCCTTAGCTCTTATGGCTGTTATCGCTAGGTACATCCTGGCAAAGAGGCAGTAGTTCACTACTGAAAATCGTTTGATGAACGGAAACTATCAGTAACTAATCAGTAACTAACTGATAACTAATATGATTACTTCAAAATATCTTGGCGAAGATCTTGAAGCTGTATGTTACGGTACATTTTATCCATAGTAGTATACTGCAATAAAAGATTGAGATCACAATTTTCATCGATTAATCCTTAGAAAGAATTAGTTACTAGACCATGGTAGATTCCTTGTTCAATTCAGTCTATGTAAGTCATAGATTATCAAGTCAGACTTGATTACTTTCTAAAATAATACTAATATTCACATTTTGGGATGAAGTTTATTTTTTGTACTTTTTATTGCCAGACATTGACATCGTATACGAGTCTGAATGAGCCGACTTTAATTGTAAGTTCTCGGACAAATCTAGCGTGGTTATGTACCTCGCATTTCCTATGGTATCCAACAGATCATCAATCAGTGGCAATGGAAAAGTATTTACTAGCGTACATACGTCGAGCTTACGAAAGTCGATACACGATCGAAATTTTTCCCATTCGGCTTTTTAACTATAGGGTTGCAAAACCTAAGCACTACAGAAAGTAATAACCATATTAATTTCTACGCAAATGCGGATTCGTCGTCAAAATTAAGCAAAAATTTTATGTAGACTACGATAGTCTTAGAATAGTCATTACATCGTTAAGTAGAGATTATACAATTGCAGAAGCGTACATTGATATAAGAAGAGGGCAAGAATACGGTACACTACATCGCACATAGGAACACTATTATATCATTCGACAACTAGTGTTCCTCTTTTTGTGCATTAACATTTATTGATTCACAGTTATCAAATTACTATTACTAGCCATGAGCTCATACGTAAATCGGCCTTATATTGTTTTTGATTTACAGCTAAGTATAATCCGGCATGTTCAAGATATAAGTAGTGTCACTATAACCTTTGAGCTTCATTAAATTTAATTTACTAATGTTTATCATATTTATTCAAATGTGACTCAGATCTTTCAGAACATCTCCAGACAAACACACAACCGAAGCTACTACTAACTCTATTTGTGATGGATAGGCACAACCTTAACTTCTGAAACTAAATTTATTGCATAAAAAGCAAGACCAACTACTTTGTGAAATATCATCCATAAATAAGTACCAGCATCCTTCTGTTTATGTTGCAGTATGACTTTAAAGATTCATTTAGTTATTTGTGCAACTTAGGCAGTATATAATATATATGAGAAATTAAGGTATTTGTATAGAGATTACCTCAAATTCGAATCCGTATTACATTTTTCCTAAAATTACATGATAAATTTTTGCCTAATTTTCTTGCTAACTAATCTGCTTTAAAGAGTCGTATAGTATCCCGTATGTTTGTAAATTCAAAATAATTCAACAACCATGATTTCAGAATATATGTACCATGTTGATATCACCGCTTTCGTTCTACTATTACAGTGTGCCTAGCTATAATTTTATTTGTAGATTTAAATAACTATACTTCTTAATAAGGGGTTTTCTAAACATGCTTTATTTTATTTTTTCAAGCAAATTTTTTCAGCTATACCCATAAACATCAGTTGTAATATCAGCATCATAATTCAAATTAGCCTCAACGAAAAATTATGCTACGATAGTCATTGACTCATATAACTGATATAGTAAGTCTATACCTCCTTACAACTATAGCAAGATCACTTTCGGTTTTCGTATCGCATGTATTATTGCTTTACGAAAACTTAGAAGACTTATAATAAGATACAGCGATTTTTGATAGGAGATCTTTATAGTATTAAAAATTTGCATTTCACTTGGTATCTAATTGTCTATGCTTAAATCTCTAAGAAATAAAGATCTCTTGCAAAAATTTTAAAACTCTAAAACATTCATATTTACTTTAAATTCATTAGGATATGAACCCATCTTGACCAGTCTCTATTAAATGACTTTGTAAATTAATTCAATATGTGGCATTCGAAATTCTCTATCTATACGGCTTGTCTCTGTTTTTGATTAAATCCATAGTTACAGTATTCAGTAATAAATACCTAGCACATCGAGTTATAGTATTTTCTTGTGAAGATGTCGCATTATACAGTATAACGGTAAATCTATATCAGAAAAGAAGGTTGGAAAATAAAATTTGACAATAACGACGTTGGTATGACGATATAGAAGTTTTACCTTCGCTGTGATAGCTTATAATTATAATCAAGTACCGATATAATTGAATAAATAAATCCTGTTTCATATTTATGATAACTGGTTAATTAATAGCAAGATCTGTCGTATCACGAAATATTATAGGCATTAGCCCTGATACTAAGCAGTTAACTATTAATAATATGAAAGATGCGCTACAATTGGTTTTAAATAACGATGAAAATGAAAATATTCCACATAGCGATCCGATGCCTCCAAATATTGTGAATATACCTAAAGTAGTTGATCTAAATTCCGTTGGGAATGATTCTGAGCTTAAGAGCTTCAGTGGAATCCATCCATTAATTAAAACTCCAGCGAAGAAACAAGCTAAAATCAGCGTACTCAATGCTGTATCAATCAGCCAAATTAGCAATATAATAATGCTACTAAGAAAAGCTAGAAAGGAAAATAACCACTTACGACCAATAAAATTAATTGACAAAACGCATATCAAAGCAACAGGTATCGAAAGTAAGTTTCCAAATAGAACATAAATCAGCAAAGTTGCACGATTTTGACTATTAAGACAGACCGAATGGCCCGGATTTTCCTGATTATTAAATAACGTGGTAAAGTTATGATAATGACCGGAACATGTGTTACCATTAAGATAAAATGAAATTAATAGTGGTAACATTGTCCATAGACCATAAAAGCAGAAGCAATATCCAAACCAAGTAACCGATAAAGCAATAATTTTTAAAAGTGTTTGTCGTTGGATTATTTGTGAAAAATGACATTTAAAGCTATATTCATTTGCTAATTGGATATTTTTATCATCATGATTGTCTTTTCTCTGAGATTTATTTAAATCTGGAGGCGTAACCAGACGATACAGGTGGCCATCGCGATGGCAATAAGAATTAGTACGATATATTTTATTAATAATTCGTATCACTTTTTCCATTTCTCCTCTTTTAATCCTAAATCGAAGGCTATCTGGAGCCCAAAGAAGGAGTAAAAAACTAATTATTATGGGCAATGTGCAAACCAGTAGATAGAGACGCCAGCTGGAGAAATAAATTTTTCCTAACGGAGCGTGAAATCGATGAGGCAATATGATATAGCCCATCCCACTGCTGTAGACACTACCAAATATTATACAAGCAGTTAGGCATCCAATGGCTTTGCCTCTATATTTACGTGGGAAAAACTCTAAGCAATATGCGTGAACAGAAGTAAATATACCGCCAAAGCCAATTCCATTAAAAATGGCAAATATAAGCACTAAGATGTAGTTGTAGGCGAATGCTGATAATATAGTTACAATTAAATTTAAGCACGTGGATAATAAAAGAATTTTTCTCCTTCCTATGGCATCACTTAATCGTCCTAATATAGCACTGCCAATTAAAGTACCAATAATATTACTTAAGACCCACCAAATTTGATTATGGTTATCAGTATCTAAATCGCAGGCAGCGATGATAACTAAACCCGCCGCTTGAGTCAATAAACTAACCGTGGAATAACATAGTCCACTAGCAACAACAATAATAAAATGGAACAATCCAAACTCTATTTCATCAATAAATTCATCCAAATTCAATGGCGGTGAAAGAGATTTCTGCTCTGGCTCTTTACGATTAAGTAAAGTGGTTTCGTCATAGTCAATGTCTTCAGGAAAATATTCTGTTAAGTTATCGTCTATTAGTTTCGACTCCATCTCCACATACTGGTGTCCAGCTCTAATTTATGGCGAATTTTAAAACGATTTTAAACCTCTCCTTCAGAAAACATTAAATGATATTTTTCCTCTGTTGACGATCTTGACAACGGAAATGTTATGTCCTAAAACGTGCAGTTTAAAATTCCACTATTTCCACCTGTAATTAATGACAAGAATAAATTGTCGGCCAAATCGTTAGACTTTTAGTATAATGATAGTAGAACAAGATAAAATATTTCTCTTGGGACCAGAAAACAGCAATAATGAGATTATTTTCTCTCAGGCCACTAAATGAATGATCACACTGTTAACCATTATGTGATGTATATCTTCTATTAGATTCATTGGATTCCGGCATTAATTCGTTGTACTTTTCGATAATGTATGTCTTTCATGGGATTTGTTGAATCATAGTTGCAATTAATTGTGTTTCTACTATCTTTCCATAATAAAATAAGATAAATAACAATCACATAAAGCCTTCTTAATAAGGATCAAAAACGTCGTTCTTACGTAGTCCACGCATATGCTAATAGTATTGTTTAAGACCGCTAACCAGCTTTTTGTATTGTTGAAATGCTAATGAACTTGATAATTCTATGGAATAGAATCGAAGTTGAAAGGCTTCCTTACGATGATAGTATCATTTTAAGTAGAATGGGTGCCATAAATATAAAAGCCAATGCCTTCGATTTATTGTTAGATTCTTCGAAAACTGTCTTCGTTTTTTGTACGATTAATTCAGAATTTGAATAATGTACTAGTATGGCTACGCCTAATTTGACCAATTGTATAATTATTGATAGATAACATTAATCATGTAGCAGAAACAGTATAAAACACACTGATACAAGCAGCTTTGGTACCAAAGTCTCTCGATAATTTCTTTTGTCAAACTTCCCTATCCAAACATAGCATTAAAATTCATTCGAATGAGTAAGATTGCGTACATCCCATCACATTTGGTGACGCCCATAAGGTAGTTAATGAAGTAATTTTGCTGTAAGGCTGCTACTTCTTTGGTAATTATAAACTATCTTCATTATGCCTGAATCTAATTTAACATACTGCTTCGAATACTATCTACGCATATAAGATCATAAATAAACTCTCAGCATTGTCATAAGATCCTTTGAAGTATGTCGAACTTTGTTGACTTAATTTTAGAAAATTAACTAACATTGTATTTGAAATTAGAACCATTAAAAATGATAAACATTTTAATTTGCGTTAAAACTAGTGAAGAGAATTGCATGTGCTGCTTTAAAATAGATATGATGATGATTTGCAAATTGAAGATTTTGTTCTATTTTGTGTTTGATCATGCTATTATTATAAATTAACTATTAGAATAATGGATTTATCCAATGTAATAAGATCAGAATGAATAATTAATTTAAATCTATTTTATGTGAATTAAAATAAATTTTTGTAGCCTCCTTAATCGTCTGCGCCATATTCCATTTCAAATAAGGATATTATCGAATCGTGGTAGTTGCAAAGCTATATTTATGATTACTTCAATATACCGTAACTAGTCTGTTGTAGCACTAGACTTTATTGATTTTAGTAGAAATTGGTCTAAGTTCATTAACTATAATTTATATGAATATATGCAACATCACATTATGACTGCATACTAGGTACTCTAATATCCACGAATATTTCTGCAAATGTCCGATCAGCGTTTCGTCTATGCACAATACTAAATCGAAACGGAAGGGAGAGATAAGATCTAATACGGTCTTATTGCATACATTTCCTGTGTGATATTCTTTAATATATAACGGTCACGTTCATATACATATTCACACAACTGATTAGCTTATTCGTGTATACTAAGGTAACTTATAAATTCTTCTTTCCATTTCATGTAATTCACTCATAATTTCTACTAATTTATTGATGACTTCCGTAAACTATCAATACTTTTAAGCCATCGATTAAAGTTATGGTTGAAGTCTCTATTTTAATGATTACTACCAAGTAAATTCAACCTTATAAACTAGTAATGTTAATGATTGTAACTTTATATTACGGAGTAACTTTTGGGTAGCTGTTAATAGATTCCATTAGATAATTTATCTGCGAATTTACATTTATTACAACTATAGCTCGTAAACTACTTAAGATTGATCTTCTACAGCAAATTAAGTCGCAACGTTAATAAGCTTACCAACTAATTAATTTAACTAAAGCTAACTATGCCCTATAGTATTTTAACAATATAATACCAGACATCAAGGTATCGGACTTACCCGCAAGAGATCATCCGTAATTTGAGTCGTACTACCAGTAAATATCGGGCAGGACGAAGCTGGCAGTAGACTCTTAGCATAATTCCAATAATAGATGCAATTTTTCTATGTTACAAATTTCGATTTTTAATACCTTGATAGGCTACTTTCCTCCCTAAGAATTGCATAGATGAAGGAAAAAGCTACATGATATCATTATTATTTTAATGAACTAAAATTAATTTCTATCGAAAATTGTCTTTAATCAATCCTGATTGGGTACAGGATATGAAATACAGGAAGCGTCCTTAAATTAACGACCATAATTAATCGTATATGCTGATACCGTGCTTGTAGTGAATATCTGTTGAAACGGTATGTATTAAAGTTCCACTTGACAATTCATAGAAATTAAATAGTTCATTAATTAATAATACTGTGTTCAAGTTAAATCTGCAAATCAATAGATTTCAAGTATTCTTTCAAATCTTTTAAACTAAATGGTTATCAATCCATAACAAGAAATTTTAAGAGCTAAACAGTATAGTTTATTTATAAAAAGCACTTAGACAATTGAAAAGTGACTGTACGCGCATTGGGAAAGATATTTAATTTTTTGCTCCGTATCACGAAAAGTATTATTTAACGTTTAATTGATGTGATAGAGGATTCGGAGAATCAGCCAATGCGGACTTATAAGCCTTTTATAGAATTACTATAGAGGTTCTACTAGAAAAATGGATACTTTATTGTAGATAGTACTGGGTACAGTGCGATAGTTACTAGTAGATCAGCGTATAAGTTGTCATGGAGGAACTTGCATAGATACTAAGACTAATAAGGACAAATAATAAATCTGAGACAAAAACCATAAATATGTATAGCCTTGACATAGAAAGTATGCAGAGAACAGGATTGTAGAATTAGATACGAGAATTACCATAATAGATTAAGCAATAGTACATGGTCGTAGAAAATAGTGAAGATTATTGGCGCTATGAATTACTAAACATAAAAAGCTATACTTGACATATATTTAGAACAGACTGTAAAAATGCTTATATTAAGAAGAATATAGAATGCGTAAATTCAAGAATAGGTTAAGAGCTTACAGAAAGATTTAAATATACTACACTTGAGAATGATACGTAATCACGTAGTCGAGTGAGGGGTCTTCTAGTGTAGTGCCTTATAAAATGAAGCTTTATTTTTGTGAATTGTTTCAAAGATCAAAGTTAAAGCCATCATTAATAGAACAAATACCTCAATCTATAGGATTTATTAAATGCTCTCATAATAATTTCTGTTCTAATCCTGCATCTATTGCATGCTAATGAAACGTTATTCATCATAAAAAATTTATGATAATCTCTGCATGAAATTTATCATAGAAATGATATTAACACTTAAACCTCATTATCTATTATCTAGTTAAAAGTAAATTTAGATTATAAGAATTTTTCCACTTAGTAATTTACAGTAGAAAATATATGACAAATAAATCTATTCATATAATAAGATTAAATTTATGATGTTGATAGAAACTCTACTTGATAGATACTGAGTTAATAATATTATTGCAATTCTATTCACTTTTTAGATTATGCCTCTAAGATAAAATTAGATCACGAAAATTCCAAAGTTGTAGAAAATTAGATCTTTGTCAAATCTAATACAAAGACTAGCTATACACACACCTCTACTCTAGCGGAATACAACTTCTGAAAGACTTCTAGAAAGAACAATCAGATAATCTAATGCCTCCTACTTTTACATACCCCTTAGCCTTCGCAGCTACAATCAGTATAGGAGTATTTTAACATATTTTACACATATTTTACACATATTCAGCTTAGTATTAGTCAGAATATTTTAAAGCGAAGCTTATTAATCCAATATAAAAATGATTACAGCATTTTCGTAGATATTATTCATACCACACAAAGCACAATTAACTAAGCATATCCTAAGATATGATTTTAAATACTATTTCTACCTCTAACCTTATTAATGACTCAACACCTTACTGTACTGTGTATATGTTCATCTGTACTCTAGCACAGAGTCTGTCCTTACCGTCCAAAATTATGGGCTAATAAATATATCATAAGATAAATATAGAAATGACACTGCCGTACATCATGGCTAATAATCTGCAATCACAATTCTAAGTTACTTTACAGCTTTAGTATAGATGATTGATTAAATTCGATATTTTAAATTCTACTACTGTATATTCATCCTTCATAGAATATCTGTGTTAGTAGTGTCTGGTAGAAATAAGCATACTATTCCACTTAATATACCAACTGCTGCTACTAGTAATAGATTAGCTATGCAATTGACATGAAAAAGGACCGTAAAGATTGCGAGAGAACAAACTGTCCCTAAACAGCCCAGGAGAGCTGTAAGACCAAGAGTAGTCGCTCGTAAGTCAGTTGGAAATAGCTCTGCTGTCCAAATTTTAATACCTAGCCATAAGTTATTGGCTATAGCGTAATATAATCCAGCTAAAATAAAGGTACTTAGTACAGTATCGATCCACATAATCAATAGAGCAATCAGACCAGACATGGTAATAACAAAACAGCAGCACCATTTTCGTCCAATTCGATTAATCAAAATAGTAAAAGCTATACCAATAGGAAGAGCTACAAGATTACCGTAGAAAACATCAAGAACTATAGATGTTAGCTTCGGACCAGAAATACAATTAGAAATGCTACTATTAGGATAATATTGATAGCTATTATTCAATGAAGAATTATGCACCATTTTACAAGTCTTTCCAGTAGTATAATAAGTTATCACTGTTGGCATCCATATCCATAGGCCTTCCATACTGAAACAACTTCCAAACCATAGAATGAGGAGAAAAATTAGTCTACGACGCCATGGTGACTTATTAAATTTCTTATAATGAGAAAAAAAATCTCGATTTTCGTTCTTATTAGTCTTTAACTCGCCTTGATCGCTCGATACGATGATAGTGTATTTAGTTAAGTCTGTAGTTGTAAGACTAGAATCGTTACGTTTGCAACACCACGAATTAACACGGTTTATTGTATTCAAGACTTGACTTATACGATTTTGATCTCCTTTTATTACCATAAAACGTAGACTGTTAGGCATAAATAATAAGAAACAGAAAGATAATATTAAGGGAATCGAGGATAGAATTAAGTATAAACGCCAGCTGTTAAAATGTATAACACCTATTGGAATAGATAACGGATAAGGAAGTACGACTAATGCAATTGCACTAGTATATAAGCCACCTAGACATGAAAATGTAGTCATACATGCTAGTCCATTACCACGATAACGTTGAGGGAAAAATTCGATACAATAAGCGTGTGCAATTGTAAAAGTACCACCACAACCAAATCCATTGAAGAAACCCAGTACAACCAACATAGTATAGTTATAAGTAAAAGCAGAAGCTATCAGAGTAATAATACTGAGCGATACTGACATCAAAATACATGTTCGTCTGCCTTCGGCGTCGCTTAGTCGCCCTATTATTCCGCTACCGACCAAGGCGCCGATCATTAAAAGAATATTTAGTAGACCTTTATTGTAGGTTTCAATATCCAGATCGCAAGCAACAACGATAATATAACTGTAAGCTACCGTAACTATAGTGTAACCAGAGTAAGCTAGGCCGCAGAAAAGAACTATTAGAAAATGGAATAAACCAACATCTAGCTTATCGACCATTTGATCAATAGTTAATGTTAACGACTTTTGATCCGATTTTAATGCTTGTTTTAAATCTGAGAAGCTATTGCCTTCCTGTAACAGTAATGACTTATCATCGGCATGATTGTCATCTTCGGAATCACTCTGCTTAAAGTTTTTTTCTTGAATTTCACGACGATCCATATTTTCTCATATCTATAAAGCTAATACATTATTCTAATTGCAGAAATGTAAAATTCGATAGCAATAACAGCACGCATGAGAAATTTATTTCTTTGATAACTTCGTAATTGAGGATTAAGACTTACTGGAATGATTGTTGAAGCTCTATGAGGGGAAGTTTTGAGAGTGTAGATGGAGACTCACAAGTAACAGTCACTTACATGAATTAAATACGATCCAATTTATTCAGTAAACAAGTCCTTCGCTCTACCAATTTGGTAAATTAACTTGTTCAAACGATTGCAAAAGTACCACAATCATAAAATTAAAGTATAAGCAATTTTGAACAAATTTCTAAAAGATTTCGTACTCTAAATTTTTCTAAAGTGAAGTAATGAATAATTGCAAGGTAGTTACCGATTTATTTTCGAAATTTTTCCCATTGCTTAGTCGGATTTTAGAATGATGCGATGACACTAATTTTGATCATTCTACGTTAATAGTCTATGAATGCAAATCTTATTTTATAGTTTACTATTTTAAGTAATAGGTTATTCAATTGCGTTAAACAATTCCATTGAAAAAGGCCGCTCATAGACAGGACAGATTCTATACCTATATGTTATTTTATGTTTAGTCTTTCATGCCCTTTTCCATAGGGATTAACCTTTTAGACGTCATATTAAAAAATCATTCTAGTAAAGATACTAAAATAGAGGATTGCAAGGGTGATCTAAATTTTAATCCACTTGACTTTCCTGCAGATGTATTAACAATGATTTCACGACGATTCATATTCTATGATGTCCTTGAAGCAAATAAGTAATTCTAGTTGCAAAAATGCAAAGTTCAAGTAGGAATGATAACATCATTAAGAAATTTCTTTCTTTTTTACTTTGTAATTGAGAATTCCAGACTTGCTCAAACAATAATAATGCTTAAATAAATTACTACTTCAACCTAGAACAAGACTAACTAAGGGAAAAGAAATCTCCTTCTTGTTTGCATTAATTATAATTCAACCATATTTAGACCTATTAATTCTGATTAATCTAACATCCAAATACTTTCGTAATCTCTCATGTCCAACCACTTGAATAAGACATTCCTAATCAAAGCTACAATATTTATTATAGCTATTTAGTACAGATACACGCTTAACATAATCTTAAGATCCAAATTATTCTTCAATCTCGTACATACCGTGCTAATCTTACACTTTTACAAATACATTTATGGTTTTCTGTAATCTATTAAGCTACTTTATGGGCTGCACTATAAGGAAAAGAAGAAACTACGTGGTATTTTCATTTAGTAAATCAAAATTATTACTTATTAAAAGCTACCCCAAATCATACCTCCATTGGCTGCAATAAATGAAATAAAAGAAAAGTCCTTTAATTAATGAGCATAAATAATCGTATTGGCTGAAACTCCGCTTGTAATGAGAATTGAGTGAAACAATTTAAATCAAACTTCCTGTCACAATTTCACTTCTGCGACAAGGTAACGTACAGTAAAAGTCTATAAGTAGCTACTGGCTTAAACGCCCTTTTACTTAACGTTAAACACACACAGCAAAAGACTGTAAAGATGAAGCTTTTATTAGCAAAGACATATCTACAAGTTTTTACCACCCTCTCAACTCAAATGTTCCCGTTTATATAGGAACCGTCTAATTTGTAAACAACAACAGTATTATTATTATACCTTACTAGGAGAATCATCTCGAACTAAGATGCTCCTTACATAGCTTTTCTATCAGTAAATATTTTGAATCTCTTACGCATATTTAATCTTAATCTAAGCTCGTAGGTTGTCTAATTCAACTATCATCAACTAGAACTTGAATCATCCTACTGCTATCCATCACACAATAACAATCAATATCAAATATGTAATGAACTATTACAAACAACATCCATGTTAAGGCATTACTTATCTTACCCAGCACTACAAATATGGATATTCTCCATACTAACTACTACTGTACTTATTAAACTATCCTAATGACAAGGCAACACCATAACACTTCCCCTATTACTATAGGTAAAAATGAATTTATTAATGATGTGTTCAAGTCAAATCCTCAAATTGGCTCATTTTATTTATTTTTTGAACTATTTTAAATGAAATGGATCATTTTAATTATTTATCCAATACACAAAATGAAGACAGCAGAACTCAAATTGTTTCTTTTCATTCAGTAGCAAGGTATTTCAAGAAGCAACAGTACGTAGACAGATCATTAATTTTATTACACATCGCAAATACTACTTTTAAACGTATGCTTAAGCATAGTAGCCATGTATACCATATAAATGGAAGACATACTTGAACTAATTATTTGAAAGATTGAAGAAAAACCATCAAGTGCAAAAGCGATTGGATGCAAATTGCATTCACTAATAAAACTATTACTTTAATCTATAAGATTCATTAATATTATTGTAATTATTAGCGTTATAATCCTGCATCTATGACTTTTCAATGAAAACGTTATTAATTATAAGAAATTTAAGATAATCGCGAAATAAAATTCATCTTATAAATGATATTAATATTGGATCTAATTAGGCATTTTCTAGTTTAAAAGTAAAATTAGCTTATAAGAGACTTGTCGACGGAATAATATGCAATAAGAATATGTCATAACTAAATCTATTCATACACTAAAATTAAATCTCTGCATATAGAAAGAAGTTAATTTGGTAGATGTTGAGTTAATATTTTTACAAATCTATCTACTTTTTAGAATATGCCTTTGTACAGATAGCTGCTTAAATTCGATATTTTAAATTCTACTACTGTATATTCATCCTTCATAGAATATCTGTGTTAGTAGTGTCTGGTAGAAATAAGCATACTATTCCACTTAATATACCAACTGCTGCTACTAGTAATAGATTAGCTATGCAATTGACATGAAAAAGGACCGTAAAGATTGCGAGAGAACAAACTGTCCCTAAACAGCCCAGGAGAGCTGTAAGACCAAGAGTAGTCGCTCGTAAGTCAGTTGGAAATAGCTCTGCTGTCCAAATTTTAATACCTAGCCATAAGTTATTGGCTATAGCGTAATATAATCCAGCTAAAATAAAGGTACTTAGTACAGTATCGATCCACATAATCAATAGAGCAATCAGACCAGACATGGTAATAACAAAACAGCAGCACCATTTTCGTCCAATTCGATTAATCAAAATAGTAAAAGCTATACCAATAGGAAGAGCTACAAGATTACCGTAGAAAACATCAAGAACTATAGATGTTAGCTTCGGACCAGAAATACAATTAGAAATGCTACTATTAGGATAATATTGATAGCTATTATTCAATGAAGAATTATGCACCATTTTACAAGTCTTTCCAGTAGTATAATAAGTTATCACTGTTGGCATCCATACCCATAGGCCTTCCGTGCTAAAACAACTTCCAAACCATAGAATGAGGAGAAAAATTAGTCTACGACGCCATGGTGACTTATTAAATTTCTTATAATGAGAAAAAAAATCTCGATTTTCGTTCTTATTAGTCTTTAACTCGCCTTGATCGCTCGATACGATGATAGTGTATTTAGTTAAGTCTGTAGTTGTAAGACTAGAATCGTTACGTTTGCAACACCACGAATTAACACGGTTTATTGTATTCAAGACTTGACTTATACGATTTTGATCTCCTTTTATTACCATAAAACGTAGACTGTTAGGCATAAATAATAAGAAACAGAAAGATAATATTAAGGGAATCGAGGATAGAATTAAGTACAAACGCCAGCTGTTAAAATGTATAACACCTATTGGAATAGATAACGGATAAGGAAGTACGACTAATGCAATTGCACTAGTATATAAGCCACCTAGACATGAAAATGTAGTCATACATGCTAGTCCATTACCACGATAACGTTGAGGGAAAAATTCGATACAATAAGCGTGTGCAATTGTAAAAGTACCACCACAACCAAATCCATTGAAGAAACCCAGTACAACCAACATAGTATAGTTATAAGTAAAAGCAGAAGCTATCAGAGTAATAATACTGAGCGATACTGATATCAAAATACATGTTCGTCTGCCTACAGCGTCGCCTAATCGCCCTATTATTCCGCTACCGACTAAGACGCCGATCATTAAAAGAATATTTAGTAGACCTTTATTGTAGGTTTCAATATCCAGATCGCAAGCAACAACGATAATATAATTGTAAGCTACCGTAACTATAGTGTAACCAGAGCAAGCTAGGCCGCAGAAAAGAACTATTAGAAAATGGAATAAACCAACATCTAGCTTATCGACCATTTGATCAATAGTTAATGTTAACGACTTTTGATCCGATTTTAATGCTTGTTTTAAATCTGAGAAGCTATTGCCTTCCTGTAACAGTAATGACTTATCATCGGCATGATTGTCATCTTCGGAATCACTCTGCTTGAAGTTTTTTTCTTGAATTTCACGACGATCCATATTTTCTTATGGCCTTAAAGCGAATACAAAATTCCAATTGCACAAATCTAAAGTTCATATAGCACTGATGGCATTTATGAGAGTTTTTTTCCACCACTTTGTAGTTAAGGATTATAGAATTATTCGAATAATAACAAGTAAATTTCAATTTGGCGAGCTATCTACTAAAGCAGCTAAAGTTTTTACAAGTTCATATGATTTAAAAATGTATGACAAACAACAAAATCAACTTATAAATTCTTGAAGGGCTTGGATGTATCAATCATTTCGTGCCCTAATATTTTTCCCAAGGGAGATAAGGAATAACTGCTACGTATTCTGTAAGGTAACGCATAATAGAAAGGCGGTCACTAATTTATTTCAAGAATTTTTCTTGTCACTTAGTTAGATTTTAGAAAGATATGACGATAATAATTTTGATCATTCTACGTTAACTGACTATTAATGCCAATCTTATATTATAGTTTGCAAAGGTAGTTTTGTTAGACAATCGCGAATTACTATTTCATTGAAGAATAATGCTCATTAGCAGAGCAGAATCTCTATCTTGCTTGTATTGTGTAGCTAGTCTTTCATGCCATTTTCCCTAGGGATTTAGACATATTAGTACGGCACTACTCACGAAAAGACACGAAAAGTAGAAGATCACAAAGATGATATACTATGCAATTTACTCAAGTCTCTTACTGTAGTAGTAGTTATTTAGGTGGTGGGAGCACTATTACATAAGAATCAAACAAGAGAAAGGGCGTATACTTGTATCATCGAGAAAAAAAATCTGCGTAGGCTACCATTAGGGTAATGCATTAGGAACAAATCCAAGCTCTACAGAACACTATTATCTAATTTCCAAAATAGTGTTCGACATTCCACAGACATAACGCGTTAATGCTTCCCAACATCATCAGATTCTCTAAATTATAAAGTAATATGTGCATTATCTACCAAAGGTTTCAAATACAAAACCGACTACTTTATTCGAGTTAAAATTAAACAGCATTCGGCAACATAAAGTTGCTAAGAATTATACTATGTGAAATTGCAAATTAAGCGATATATGTAATCAGCATATCATCCATGCAATTCTGATAAAATTGGCAGCTAATTTTGATTATGAAATTGAATAGAAGTTATGCTATTCTGTGATAGAGTACAATGTGAATCTGAACGTTCAGATCTGGGTTTTAATTTAAGATTGTTGGCCTATCTTGGTGAATTTTTGCAGTTATGATATGCACCCTACAGAAAGTACAACGTAAAACGGAACGATGATTATTATTAATTTAATACTTTTGAGAATCTAAGGTATAATTTATCGAGTCATATGTGAGACATTGACGGTTTTTATTTAAAATACCTTACAGTGATAATTTAGTAGTTTGGTACTACACTACTACCAGCTACTCTGTATAGCATATGGAAGGTGATGTAGTTTGTCAGTTTAAGTTAGCGAAAAATGTATGAAGTGAGAAAATCAATGATTAAGCTGTTCTTAGATTCGTAAGTAATCTTTTTTAAGTTGATGGTTAGGTTGACCAAGGCAGTAATTCAACCCTTTTGTTATTCTTTTAAGTAATTTCAGAAATTTAATGTTACAAATTATAGTAAACTAGTGTTTCCTCTAAATCTGTTTTGTGTTGGATTTCAATCGCTGATAGTTTTTCGTAAATTTTTTCGTCCATTATTACTATTATAATACTCATACAAGGGCAAGTAGCGTATAGAAAAGCAATTTATATTACATTAACTACTACGCTATTTAAAGTTATGAATTTCGATATCGTCTGTTCTATGCGTAAATTTTACTACAGCCAGCTTTAATCTGTAACTAGATATTTGATTTGATTAATGCGGCCAACCGATGTAAAATTAACTAAATCTTCAGCAATTATAAGGATAATATACAAGTGAAAAGAATGCAAGTGATCTTCATATTCTCCTGAAATGGCCGACTAAAACTGTGTGCTGCTATGCTACATCTTTCAGTCTTAATAATGATGATCGATGGACTATGTTATTTGCTTAGCTCGTTTGGGTTACAGCAGGGGTCCATGGTTATTGTGCATATGCAATAATTAGTATGTTGTTATGGATTCCCTGCAGATACAGGTAACGCTAATCTAATTTGCTAATAAACTATTTCATACTAATTTTATTTTGGCAATAAAGAATATATATATATAACTTTAGGGTAGCGATTCGGTATAAAATGGACGCATACTTAGTCTATTCTTTATTTTGTAACTATTTTAAAGCAGTTAATCTTCTGATGCCATACTTTAAGAATTCCTAAAACTGTATGAGAAGCTCAAGATCGAATATCAAATTTTCTTTAGTCTACATAAGAAAACTTACATTGTTGCTTAAACGATAGAGATATCCTCGTTACTTAGATCATCGAAATCGTTTCATTGGTGAGCTAACAACGGGAAAGTAGAGTTATAATTTTCTAGAAGCTATCTGCTTACTTTTGCAACAGATATTTGGATAGTTTGATAAAGCATTAGCCAGCATCTTTGGTTATAGCAAAGATATAACGAAGTTTAGAGAAAGCTCCATTTAGTAGTAGGATTTTTGCTCTACCATTTACAGTGCTCTGTTTCCTATGTATTTTGTAGTAGATGTTTTAAACTATTTACCATAATGAAGGAATAAAAGATTAAAGTTTGTAGCAATTCACTATTCCGAAGGATTAATAAAATTGCTGTTTAAAAATGAAATACCTTAGCTAATTTTTGTGGGCTCAAATTCCTATTTATTCATTACTAATATAATAAAATCTGCGATTCTAAAATATAGAAGATACCATGACTTCCATTACTTAGATGAACACTTTTATAAAGACTGATCTTGCTAAACGGGTGTAAAAGTACTAATTTGGGTATCGGAGGCAAAAAATAGAAAAGCAGGTACAAATGCTTAAGAATAGGAGAAAAGTTTATAAAAGAATTAAGCTGTTAAAGCTTCTGAATCAATAGCAATATTAATATATCACAACTTCAAGATGTTGCAGCAAAGCTCTTCAATTTTTTCTTTTAAAATTAAAACTGTTTATTAAAAGATGAATCGATTTCGGCCAGTTATCAATAAAATTAAGCACTCAAAGCTTATTCCTGTATAACTTTATCACGTAAAACACAACGGCTGGTCAGAGTTTTTGGGGCAGTAGTACAGAACTGCTGTTGCAGATGCAAATAATAGAATAATTAGTTACCTTAATTTCATCGTTTATGATTCCGTTCTATGCTTAATTTCTTAACTATATCATTACAAGTACAGGTGCATTTGCAGTCGTCAATCTCGAATTACTTCAGTAGGAATATCAGCTTGTATTGAAGTAAAGCATTAAAATTCCAATAGCTGCATAATCTACGAGTTTAACAAATTTAAGTAATTCTAGCCATCAGCAGTTTGATCTTTTGGACTTCACTTGATTTCATTTTACTGTCGAAATTGAGTGAAATTATTTCTTTTCAATGAGTGAGCAAGCTTCAGTACCGGAGTACCTTTACTTCCTTTTGCAGTGTAGTTATCTTAAGCTTTTTCATTAGTTTCACATATGCCATACCTCTCCTAAGATCGTAATATTGCTTTAATCGTAATCGCCTTTGCTTGTAAAGTGTTTAGGTACTATCTATGGCATAGATTCAATAATGCATCCAAGTTTGCTTACTACTTGATAGCAATGCGATAGCTGCTTTCCTAGCAACTTCCTACGATATATTTAGAATTTAATTTATCCGAGATTTTAGCAACGACATCATTCGAAGATTGGAAATCATGCTCTATGAAGAAGAGATTCCATTAAATTACTTTCCCTGATTAATTTAGAAGAAGCGTTGTACACCCCCCTTAGTAAAAAGCAACAAATCGAAGAGGAGATGGAAGCCATAGTATATATATAACAGCACGACCCTGAGTTTGCTCTATTAAGATAGAAATTCAATTTATCCAGGTATCATTCTCTTCCAGAAGTAAGTAATAGAGACCTTTTAGTTACGACTAATTAATTCCATACCCGAGATGATAACTTTACGACCCTCGTTTAATAGTTACTAATTCTAATAACATTACGCGTTGCCAAAATGCTCAACTTTTTACGAAGACTAAAATTCACTTTATCGAGGAATCAATTTCGATCGCTGTGATGACTATCAAGCGGTAAAATATCACGAAAATAATGTCTAATGCTTTGCAAACAATGAAAAAGTTACCTGAAAGTTGTTTACATCGAATAAAGGTAAGAAATGAAAGAAACCTAGTCCTATATTATTACCAATACGGCCCAGCTTTTTTCTGAATTTAGCAGATCTTTTTCGTCGCTTTGTTTCCTGCTTGCTACTCCTATCTCCTAGTAATGTAGATCTATCATTACAAGGAACTTCATCATCAATAAAGAGATCATCTGAATCTTCAATGTTAGCTCTAAGTCGAGTCATGGCTTTAAACCAACAATAATGAGGACAACGGAATATGAATTGATGCTTTTCTTAATAATCACAATAATTTATCATAATAACATCCGGAATGATATCATGAGGTCATCAGATCGTTGAAGTCGTAATGATGAATTTAATAGAAATTTGACCCTAATTATCTTATTGGCTGATTTCTAGCAGACCAAATCTACAACATAAGCAAGTTGTAGTCTAGGACTAATAAACATCTAATTACATTCACACCGACATGTAATTAATTGGCTAAACAACCATAACCGATAGACAGACAGACAGTGTACCGCTGTGAGCAAATTAACAGCCTTAACAGCAATAGCTCTATAGCAAGATCATAACTTGAATTTCTGAAATCGAGTAAAAAATAGTGATCATTGCCACAAAATACATCTGTACCTTAAATATTAGGATGCCAAGATTACATGTCCTGACAGTTTGAAAGTAGAATAATCTACTATGTTAAATAAAGTAATTGTATCATCATGACTGGTATGATGAACGATGCAATTGTATTATTCGTATAAAGACTTGGCTGACATCTACATAAAGTTACATTTTGTCTAATGTATTTATATAATTCTTAACTTGTATGGAATTGCTGTGATAGAGGCTAAGTAGTTGATTATCCAGTTTATTGTAACCATTATCAAGTGTTACTATGGGGAGAAGAAAAATGAATCTTTTATCGGTCAGGGGTACTATCAATAAACAAGACTTTAAGGTTAAACGCGGTGTTGACCAAATTATATCGCCTCAATTAAAGATTTGATCAATTTTGAACGCAAATTTTAAGTGATTGATTGCGATCCTAAAGGGTTATAAAATGCTTCCACTACGTATGTGTAAATGCAGCTGTAATGAATTTTAATTTGCAGAATTCTCCTTCGAGAATTTATTTTGTATTGTAGCTTTAAAAGAAATAACTAATTTACTTTGATAGTAGTAGATTTTAATTAGTATCTAACTATCTTAGCATACCGCATTTTTAGCACAACTTCATTCGAGTTAGAATTCAATAATCCGGTCATATATCTATGTTAAGATATATACAATGTAAGATTGTAATATAACTGTGTTACAATCAGCTCTTTGTAGCAAAAAGGGGTCGCCAGATCTAAAATTGTCGTACTCTCTGAACTCACACGTGGAACAGTATCGATAAAAAACTATTCAACTAACTAGTTCCTCAGTTAAGCTGATCCAAGAGAGTTGGCTTGTAACCGCCCGATCTACATCTAACTTTATTGCTAATAAATACAAACTTTATTTGTATTTTTTATAGTAACACGAATATCGTATATAACGCGATATAGTTATGTGCGACTGGCTAAGGCCAATCGGAGATTAGTAACAACACGAAGATTGAAAAAAAACTTAGATAATAACAATATTTTCTTACACAAGTTCAGAAATTATAATAAACTTTATAAGAGAGCCTGCATACGCAATAATTTTATCGTAAATAATGACATAATAATTGAGCACACTTCAGGCCCGTTTACAGATAAATAACATTGCAACAAACTGAATCTAAACACCTATCATAGTAAATGTAATATCTTACTGTAGCATTGAGTGTTTCATAAACAAATCAGTTACAGTGAATAATTCACACTGTGACAAAGAGATATATGTTGTATATTACTATCTACAGTTAACAATAATAACTGTACTAAAGGCTTGTACTATTCTCAATTAGTATGGAGACAAGAAATAGAACACGTAGTTATAGTTATTGTAAAACTAAGTTCTAAATCCTACTCTCTCTTTATTACATTGAAACACGCGGCATATATACGCGCACCGTTCACACTTATAACGCAATGTAATTGCAAGTACGTGTAGCAATAGATTCTTTAGTGTACGCAGCACATTCTACAATTAAGACGTAGAATTAGCAAGTGTGGAATATCGTACGTGTAGAATACTATAAATAATCAATCACGATTATTATTATGTAACCTGTGATATTAGCAACTTAAATTCAAGTAATATCGAATTAACGCAAACACAATAGCAATCTCAATGTGTTAATGCTATATATATTATTACATCGTATTAAACGTACAATCTAATAAATATAGCGTTGTTACAGTCATAAAATAACTTAGATATGCAAGTGTAGCTTAGATAACATTTTTTTAACTTTTTAAGAGTATGAGCTACTACTTAGGAATAGCTATTGTTATTAATAACCTAAGTTATAATGGTAATATGATGATATAGTAATATGTTGTAAGTAGGTGTCGAGAACTTAGGAGCTTGATAGGCCTTTACTGTCGAAGTAGATTTACGTATGAAATTGTTTATTACCTTGAATGTCCGTAATTGAAAATTCAATCGTAATAAGATCTTTGTAAATATGTCAGCAGCATAGTAAATGTGCAAAGAACTACTGAAAGAGTATATAAGAAGGACTATGATAAATAAAAAATAATCCAGGTTAAGGCTAAGTTGTGTAATAGCTTTATATCGTATATTGTGTTGAGCGAGTTAGTATTTCGCAAAGATTCCAGCTACTATACCGTAGGCTAGGGGAAGTAGTTCTTCGGATTAAAGTAAAGTTTATTACAAGTACCGTGCTATTTTCTTGTGCCGCAAGAGTAGTTGTGGCAAGCGTTGCGTAGGATATGATAGTATACATAGTTGGTATACTATATACAATTGTCACAAACTCCCGTGTGACAAGATAACGTTGTGATCGAATCTACGATCTCGCAATAATTAGTACGCCTTCGATTTCCGTTATACTTTTAACCTTAGGAACTAAGAACTAACTTTTATTAATTGTCCAATCGTTTAAATAGATTTTGTCTACAAGCATTTACACACATGCTATTGCCATTTATAACGATTATGATAGACAAGCCATACCATTCAACACAAAACAAAATATTAATTTTACTATAGCCTATATATTAATAACAATGTAAATAGAAGTAAATATTGCTTTCGATTAATTTCAAGTTATAGAATACTAACTATGCAAAGGTTACACTACGAAATCCACGATGTGTTATCGACACAATCGGATCGAATTAATCTATATCAGCTCCTGTCGTATCTGGTAGTAGGCAAGATAATAATCCGCCGAACGTACATAAGATAGCAGGTAGTAATAAAGTAGCTGTACAACTTACGTGAAATATTAACGAAAATGTCAATATACCGAGAAGAAATCCGAGTCCAGATATAAAATTGACGAAGCCTACTGCTGATGCTCTTAGTTCCGTTGGAAACAGCTCTGCGCTCCATAATTCGAGAGGAATCCATCCGTTAACAGCTATTGTGGTAAATATAGTGGCGAATATCTGGGCGGTAATTGTTTTATCAATTAACCATATTAAGAAAATAGATAAACCAGTTAAGGTAGCTACAGTAATAAACAGCAATTTTCTTCCGGTTCGATTAATAAATATAGTGCATAAAATTGCCACTGGTGCAGCTAAGCAACTACCGAATAATATATCGCTAATTGTATTTATTAATTTAGAGCCTTGTAAGCAACTGATACTATTCGAAAGAGTTTGGTTTAAGTTGCTCATTGTCTCATTAAGATTCGCTCTACTATATCCAAGTTTGCAAGAATTGCCATTAATGTAATATGCAATTATCACAGGCAACCATTGTCTTAGACCATGAAATGCTAAACCGAATCCAAACCAAGCGATAGTTAATAGTATTAATCTTCCGCAGAAAGGTGATTCTTTAAATCGCAGAATATGTCCTATAAATGTTTCATTCTTTTTACTGGGAGAGCAATTTAAATCTGATTCATTGTTTGCGACCCAGTTTGCTAAGTATTTCTCTATCTTCTTTGGTTCAGAATGCCGATTTCGCTTAATAATAAAATAAAATGAATTGATGCGATTAATTCTATCTATGACTTGTAGCGCTTGAATAGGTTGCTTTGCTTTCAGTATATATCGGATACTATCTGGTAGGCAAAACAGCGATAATAAACTTATTAAAGTAGGTAAAGAGGCAACAAGGATATAAAGGCGCCAGTGACTAAAATAGATTGATCCGATAGGAATATAAAATGGATGGGATAATGTCGCCATAGCGATTAGGCAACTGTAGATACCTCCGAATATAACAAAAGCTGTCATTGCTGCGACTGATATACCCCGATAGCTGCGAGGAAAAAACTCTATTAAGTATATGTGACTATTAGAGAAGATACCTCCTAGACTAATGCCACTTAATGGGCCTAATATAACGATCATGTTATAATTTACTGCAAAAGCAGAAGCTAAGTTTGAAAATAGAATTAATGTCGAAGATAGAATCAGTACTCTCCTTCTTCCGATGGTATCGCCCAATTTACCTAAGGTAAGACTACCAACAATCAAGCCACACACGACCGAGAGACTTAACCAACCTCGATTTTCCCTAGTAATATCTAGATCACAAGCAGTAACGATTAAAAAACTGATAACATTAAAAAAAACAGCACCAGTGCCATAACAGAAACCACTTGATAGAGTAATTAAATAATGAAATAATCCAATTTCTATTTGATCAAGGATGACATCAATATTTGAAAGATTTTGTGGCGGATCACTTCTGTCATCACAATCTAATGTGTCCTTATGGCTATCCAGTAAAGGTGTGCTGGCCGTACTTTCGTCTTCAGGATGTGATTTCATCTTCAAACGATGTGATTCTAAATCATACAGGGCCGATATATTTCCAAATTATTACAGGACACCAACTAGGATTTCTAATATCAACCGATGCGCTACTATCTTTAATTAATAGTAAATTCTCTTCTTAACCGTTGTTGATTTGATACATCCACAAATAATATCAGAGCAGTGTAGGAAAAAATCAGTAAATACCAGTAACAATCTTGTTACAGACAAAGAGTTAATATGATTAATGTGCTAAAATTTGCTTTTTATCCAGTAGAGTTTTAGCCGTTTAATTAGATTTCAACTGTTTAAAAAAATTGAATGTAACTCTGTAGAATAGTAGTGAAGTAGTAAATGTCTTCGATACAAAAAAGGGAATATGGGAATATATTATTGTAACAGACTAATATACTGTATATTCTCGTACAATTTTAGACTTTTCCCCATTCGTTAGGACGGGAGGGAGAACTTTCAGGTTGGAAGGCAAATATTCCCATGACAGCGATTGAATCGTACGTAAAAACAGATTATGGCATTGTGGCTTAATTCTCAGGGTAATACTATTCAAATAAGTTCATCCAAATCAAAGATTACGAAAAATATCTATTGTAAACTAGGAGATACAAGATGACATCAAGTTCGCTATTGTTAGTACGTCTTGCTGTTACGCTCAAGGGATTTCAAGAATAAATTGGAGATTCTATTCGTTACTCTTATATTACTGATGAACGTGCTTTCCACTATTCTCTCAAGCTGATAGCTGTCATTCCATATCAGTAACTTAACCATCGGGAATATTCCTAGTGAGAAATCTAATAGTACACCTTAGCAAATGAATCGAGTACGAGAATCAATCTCTAATCGAATCTAATATCAGTCCGTGTCGTATCCGATAACTGCCACCGTTCATAAACCAAAACTTCAATCAATTTTCATCTATCATAGCTACGAGTGTACTATTAATCATGTAGCTAAGTTATGCTAGTTTCAATATTCTACTGTAGCAGTATGATTTCATTTATTTCATACAATAATTGTCAATCGGGATTGGTCGAATTTAATTGCGAAAGATTTCATGAGAACAAAATACTTCAAGCTATCGCAGCTATCATTGTTGCGAGTCTACGATTGCCTCGTTAAACATTTGTTTATACTATGCTAGTTTTAATATTCTACTATATTAGTACGACCTCATTTATTTCATACGATAATTAATACTATCAAATGAAATACTGTAGATTGAACTTGATTGCTAAGGATTTTACGAGGAACTAAATAATTCAGTATATATATTGCTAATTCTATTATCATTTATAAGAGAAAAATAATCGTCAAAGCTGATCCGTCACCTCTACGCGTATAGAGATATTAGCTACTACAGCTTGGTATTTAATTTGTATTGCTGATCAGATTATATTTCTTAAGCAAAATGAAACATTAAGATTGAATAATGCGCAAATTATATAAATGAAATAATATTTGGTCTCTTTAGATCTGTATAACAAAATATTTTTACGTTAAATTGTAGATGTTAAGGAATCATATAGAAACGATCAAATTTACTGGAATATACAGTAGAACAGTAATAATTTCATTGCTCAAATTATGTCAAGGGCTGTTACTTTGACTCTTCTCTCATAAATGATAAATTTGCAGGTATTATCATATAGTTCTATCTTTATTTACCAAGCATCTACACAAATAATGAAACGACGGTGTTACAGAAGATATTAATTACCATTAAGAAAAATGACATTTTGTAGTACGAAATTAAATTTCTTGCTATTTAATATCATATCCGTCCTTGTCAGTGATATAAATTCAAAATATACTTTCTACTTTACTTTATCTCAAAAGTCAAATAAATGGCATATGAAAATTGAGAGACCTTGGGAATGTTTTAAACCGATGCCAGGTTATGCTTCACCTCTATCCGTTATTAGATTCTATCAAATATTCAGTAGTAATAAATGCGTTTGCTTCAAGTTCTGCTGCTATGTAAGCCTACAAATATTAGTATTTCTCTTCCAAATTTATTTTAATCTTTCAGATCTCTGTAACTTAAATCATATGTATAGCAATTTTGTAGACTAGAGTCACAGGAAATGATTATTGGCAGCATTTATTAAATATTAAAGAGGTAAGTTAAATCTACCTGTTTATTGATCTACTATAACGATGAATTTTTCTTCATCCAATATCAACATTTACAGTGTCTTGAATGTAGATTGCTACAATTCCAGCTACTAATAAAGCGATACAATAAAGCAAAAGACTTGCTGTGCAGTCGATATAAAAAAGTAAAGGAAACACAATCGTGCCACATAAAGTTCCAATATGACCAATAGCATTAAAAATTCCGAGAGCAGTTGATCTTATTTCTGTTGGAAATAATTCCGTAGTCCAAACGGTAAAAGGAATCCAACCATTCATTGAAAAAGCTACGAAAAAACAGACCAAGATCATAGCACTCATAGATGAATCAATTAACCATATCAGTAATACAATTATTCCACATCCTATGGATATTGTGCAAAATAAGCCTTTCCTACCATTACGACCAACTAATAAAATGCAGGATAAAGTCAACGGTATCGATAATATATTACTTAGCATTATGCGAGTCAGTGCTGATGATAACTTACTGTCTCGGTTGTCTAGATACTCTGAACCGTTAAAGATGATCATATAATTTCTATTCCAAGGCAAGTTTTTACTAGCATGATTAACTGATCGACAGGTGTTGCCATTTACGTAATAAGTTAGTAACGATGGCAGCCACATTAATAGTCCGTGAGCCGTAAAACTATATCCAAACCATACGATCAGAAGTAGCCATGCTCTTTTATGCCAGGGTGTCTCTTTAAATTTCCGGCTATGATCGCATAATTTATGAGTAATTTGATATTCTTGAGTCAGATTTGTACCATTAATATGAGTTTTAGCTAAGTAGGAATGAGATAAAGTAATGTATTTATAATTATCACTTCTACTTCCTCGTTTTACAAATGAATTGATTCGTGTTATCTTTTCAGAAATCTGTACAATTTTCTCTGTATTCCCTTTTCTTAAAGTATGCCGTAAGCTGTTTGGCATAAATAGGAGCGAACAGAAACCTGCCAAAATAGGAAGACTGCAAAGAATTAAATATAATCGCCAACTGGTAAAGTATATCTGGCCAACTGGAACATGAAAACGATAATTTAACGTCAAAGCAGCAAGTACTGTACTAAAAATACTTCCTAGTATTGAAATGGATGTTACACAAGCCAAAGCCCAACCACGATAATCTCGAGAAAAAAATTCAATTGCATAAGAATGCACATTAGATATAATACCACTAAAACCTAATCCATTGATAGCTGTTAAAACTACCAACATAGTGTAGTTATAGGCAAAGACTGAAACCAAAGTGGTTATTAAGTTTATTGCCAAAGACGCCAAAATAATTCTTCTTCTTCCGAAGACGTCACCTAAGCTACCTAGTAAGCCACTACCGAAGATAATCCCAATGGTAAAAGAAAAACTCAGCCAAAAGTGATTATCAGCATTAATAACCAAATCGCTAGCAGTAATAGTTATGAATCCGATTGCTTGGTAAAATATAGCATGACCACTGTAGCATAGCCCACAAACAATAATTATTAAGCAATGGAATAATCCAAATCTTTGCTTGTTCATGATATAATCAATAGTTACCGTCTGATATATTTCTTCTTCAGATTGTTCTAAATCGGATAAATTTTTGCTCTCACTTAGTAAAGGTGCAGAATCTTTAGTGGCAACATCTTCAAGATTTTTATCTTTCAATAAGATCGATGTCTTTTCCGTTTTAGCCATGATAGAAATAGAGAGTTTAATACATAACAAAATGATTGACCCCTTGAAATTGAGGGCTTTATTGATTAACTAAAAGTTCTTCTGTAACTCAAACTAATACTATTTCAGCTTCCTATATCTTGTTGTATAATAATTATCCTCAATGGTGGCAAGATCTGTAATTATCAATAAGTACCACAAATGTTTACTTGGTTAAAAACCTGCTGTAGCAAAAGCTGATAAATCTACTGCATAAGTTAAACTTGTTATCGAGAAATAGAACATCGTAAGAACACACTGAAAACGTAAGACATGATCGAATCGATAAGGCGGTCCATCGTTTGACTACGTAAACTTTACTAATTACACTGAATATAATTGGCACTAACTATAGCGTAAAACAAAAAAGAAAATAGAGCTTCGGCTTCTGCCCATTAATAGCGTCAATTCCCAAAGCGTATAACGCCTATGGCACAAAATTATCGTATTCGGCATAGAAAAGTTCGAAAATAAAGAACTATTGAATTAATTGTTCTTTGCTAGGTCCCAGTAGTCAAGTATTTTCGAATAGCATTACTATGCTCTAGTAGGCTCACATCTACTATATATTAAAAACAGCAATTAATTTCTTCATCATCAACAACGTTTTATCATAGATTTGACAAGAAACGGGTCGAAATGTCATTATTAGTTCTGTATCGTAGTATAAACGGTAGATTCTTTTAATACTACGGCCGATAGAGTAATAATATAAATTTTCCGATTAATTTATCGCTAGATTTATACATAGTCATGAGATATTCTATTATATTATTATTCAGAGTGGATAAATGATGATAGCGCCACGAAGTAAAGTAGCTATAAAATGTATCACACTATTGTGTTTTCTTCTCTTCGCTTCAGTATATCCTTCAAGATAAAATAAAATAGAGCCCTAATAGCTTTTTTGACAATTAAATTTTATCAAAATTTACAGTAATTCCACAATCTTACTTTCTACATGAGATTATCTAGGAAGCTGTAAATACCGCTGATTTTCTCTTTCAGATCTCGATAGGAGCAATAGTTGTAGTCTTAGTACCTCGTACTTTACAACAACTTTTAAACTGCTCTACGAGCAACTACGACATTATTTTAGAATTTATAGTCGACATTGAAGAATCCCTATTCGATTAAACAATTTATGCGTACATCAATCTCTGACTAGAAAATAACTCACTTTGCGCTAACTTATCAAATTATCCATTGAAATTCTAAACGAATATCGGATAGTTATAACTATTAAGAGTGCTATGCAATGTTCTTGCAAAATTATTGTCCCGGGAGCCGCTACTTTTACTAGTCTAAAATTATATGATTACCAGTGCCAATTTAGCCAATTGTATTATTCATGAAATACGGGCATCTATTTGTATCAACTTAATTTTTGAGTTTAAGATCTGTATTTGCACTAGCAAGCAATTGATTCAATTTTTATGAAATGATGCCCTTTACTTTACAGCCTTAACACGTGCGTTTTAGCAGATTCCAGAATTTCAACAGCGTGAATCCAATGGTAGCCAAATATTTAAAAAGTGCCTGTCAGTTATTGTATCAACACGTTCTTTAATACACGGTAATTCATAGCTGTTCCAGTACAGTTCTTCGTTTTATTAATATCAGTTTCAGTAATTTTGGTAAGAGAATGGACAACAGGTCATTCATCGAGTATACAGCTGCTGTGATAATTAAAGCTGAGGTACAATTAATACAAAATAGGAGTTAGATAGCTAATTCATGCGGGGCTTGCAGTCATCATTGTTTTATACTCTTACTACCACAACTTCTATAAGAGATAGCTATGACATATGGAGTTCTCTGAAAATGAATCTTTAAAGGCTTCTTAGCTAAGACTCAATGATAATATAGATATTTTAAAAGGCTAATTTATAATCACTCTTACGACCGTAATAATTTTAATTAATTGCGCGAATTTAAAATTTATTTTTAGATCAAATTCGACGTATATAATAGGCTAGTGAATAATTTCACATCTATTCAGGTTAGAATATGTTTACTTTAGGTCATTATTGATAGAAATTAGGCAATGAGAGAACTGTTCATCTTACGAATAATGAAATTTGACTAGTTGATAACCATTACTCTAACCTGAATCCTAATACTCTTTCCTAAAATTTTTTAATGATTTGTACGAAAGTAAGGTATCAATAAATTTCTGATTTGATTTATTTCCAATTAACTCTACAAAGAACTATTTCTACAAGTGATAAAATTTTATGATATTATTACATCCTGAAAATATTCAATCATTAATACGTCATAATTCCTAAGTTTGAAGCAATTTATACAATGTAGTCAATCGTAGGAAAATTAGATAGTTATTAGATGATGTTAAATCGAAATTCCCTTTTTAATTTAAGATTAGTATCAGTTTACCAACAGTACTTCAAATTTATACATAACTAAATTATCGCAATGGAATTATAGATTTTGCATTACTTTTGCCTTTCTTTCTTAGTTAATATCTAACTCTGTTGTGTCTAGTAAAATGATACATAATAGTCCACCTATGAAGCATATTGCTGCCGGTGTAATAAGAGCTGTGATACAGCTAGTTTAAAATAGTACGGGAAAGATAGCTATACATGGCAGTGTTCCGAAATTACACATGAAACTGCAGATACCCAGAAATGTCGCCCTAATTTCTGATAAAAATAATTCAGATGTCCATAATTTAAGCGGTAATTAGACATTACAACCAATAGCTGTAATAATGGTTACAAATATATTCGTACTTGATGCGTTATCAATGATCCATACTTAGAAAACAAGTAAACTTATGGTGATGGCAATAATACAAAATGGCCATTTACGGCCAGTCCGATCTATTAGTAAAATACAAACTATGGCTATTGGAATAGCTAGCAAACTTCCCATTACAAGATTTGTTAATACAGCTCACAAATGAGACTATCAACACAAAATGTAGTGACAGAAAGGTTGTAATCAAGTAAATGCCCGGTCACACTTAAGTTAATAGAATTATGCCAACAACAATGACCTTTAGTGAAAAAAAAGAAATTATTGTTGGCAACCATTGAAGTAATCCTTGAAAAGTGAAACAATATGAAAACCAGCCAAATAATAGAATAAGTAATCTTTTAAGCCAAGGCGATTGAGTTAATTTCGCTATATTTTGTCTGAAAGTTGCTTTATCGATTTGAATTTTGTCCTTATTTTTAATAATGAAATTGCATAAAAGTGCATTAGTTTCAAAGCGATGAGATAAATTCTTCTTGCAATAACAAATTGAATTAATTCGATCTATTTGATTTAAGGTTTGTGCAACTTGAGCTTCATTTCCTCATTTCAATGTGAATCGTAAACTATTAGGCAAGGAAAGAAGTGTAAGAAGCCCTATCAACATCGACATAGCGCAAATAATCAAGTTTAAACGCTAACTTGTGAAGTAGATTTCTCCAATTGGGTTATAAAATCGAAATGGCAGTATCAGTAATCCAGTTACATTGGAATAGATAGAGCCAAAGATGACAAATGGAGTCATGCAAGGAACTGAAAGACCACAAAACGTCTTGGTAAGGATGACAGTTTGTAATGATGCCACCAAGGCACAATCAATTAAGAAAAGCCAATACTGCAGTCATGATATAATTATAAGAGAGTGACGAAACAATCATAAGAATTATATTACAAAAGATGGATATTAAAATTGTTTTCCTTCGACCGATGTATTCGCCTAAGGTTCCTAGTACTAAGCTGCCATTCGTCATACCTATCTCTACGGATTAGCCCAACCAACTGCTATTGCTAATAGTAATATCTAAATTACATGCTGCTATAATGACTAAACTATATCCGTTTAAAATGTCACTAGCAGTATGTAATGGCCGAATAATAATCTTTTACTATTACTATAAAAGTATAATCCGCAAGGAATTGTTGCTAAGACATGAAAGAATCCGACTACTGAAGAATCGACGACATTATCGACGTTCAAGCTATCATCTTTTGCGTTGAAAATACGATCTAAATAATTTTCTTCTGCTCTAATATCGTAATTATCTAGTAAATTAGTTATGTCATTAACATCATTTACATCGTCAACAGAAAGAGCTTCTGACGCTTTTACAGTGCGGGCTTGTTTATCAATATCGGTCATGACGTATTTAAATGTAAATATTCGTAAGCAGAAAAATTAAATTATACAATAAATTATAAATTTAAAATGTTGAAATTTACGAACGCTCTTTCGGTTGATTTAGATAGGAAACCAGTTACAGCTGATAGAGGATACAAATATATATATATATCCCTTGTTGGGCAAAATTAAACAACTTATGAATTTATTATTTTGGGCACAGTTCTGCAATCAAAAAATAGGTCTTACGCTTAAAACACTTGGCATAAGTAGCAGATAAGATCTCACATAACTGCTAACTAATAATTAACGGCTTATTTAATGGTAATATTAAATAAGGATGTTATATACTCGTATTAATGCGTAATGGACAATAAGCATTATCTCTAGTGCATAAAATCAGTGAACTCATTACCGAAAAATCGTTGAAATAATTGTATTGGTGAGCTATGAGTAAACTAAAGTATTATCAAGAATTCGGCAAACTTGCGAAACCCATAACATCAACGTGCTCTCTTCAGCGTCTTTCATTGCTACATTAAAGTCAGGGGTTACTCAATAAAAAATTTTCTTCACTTACCGAAATCTCCAATTGTTGAGTAAATCTCGACTAGTGATAGTGATCACAGCTGAAAAAATTGTTGTCTACTTCCTCAAAGACTGTAGAGTTAATACCGTAAGTAATTTTTATCAATTGACGCTAGAATTTGTTTATTGTAAGATATTATCGACAGAAATTACATAACAAACCAGCTATTTTTCAGACGTAAGGTGGGATTTCGCTAATCAGTTGCATCAATACTATGTTCTAAACTATTTAAACATGAGTTTTATTGGAATAATGGCATTGATAATATTCGTTTCGATTTGTCATGCCTATTTATTTCAATTTATATAAGCTATATTTACATTCAGTCTAAATGATATACCTTATGCACGCTAATATAAGTAAAAGCACTAAATATTCCACAAATTGCAACTTTTTATCACAGGCAATACTACATGTTATAATTTCTTTATGAAAATATTTTAAAAAAAACTATTCTACCAACTGTAATTAGCATATAGGTCACACAAGTATTTTTATAAAAGCAGATTTTATTACTGATTGCCTACAGATTGAGATACTACGTTATAATGCAACAAGCTCTGAGTGACAAAGAAAACTACTTACAACAGCAAATCTTGGAAAAGTGTAGCCGCTTAAATACCTTAACTAATTTTTTTACGGTATAATGATTGCGAATAACATCACTTAACACTTACAGAACTTAGGATGATAATAAAATTGTAGGATTAGTATTATATTCTAATCTGTTATAACATTTCTGCATGATAAAAAATTGATATGCGTATCTAATTCTAATTTTACGATGATAAGAGTTTATGGATTGTACTTCAATGTGTTACATAACAGTAACGGAAATTATCGATATAGAGCCACTGAATTCTGTATAACCTTGACTCTCTTTCTTAGTCAATATTTGATTCCGTTGTATCTGGTAAAATAATACACAATAATGAACATACGAGCCAAATTGCTGCTGGTATAGTAAGAGCTGCAATACAGCTTGCTTGAAATAGTACAGGAAAGATAGCAATACAAAGTAGAGCTCCGAGATTACCTATAACATTGCAGATACCGAATACTGTGGCTCTTACTTTTGTTAAAAATAATTCTGATGTCCATAATTTAAGCGGTAACCAAACATTATTACTAACAGCTATAAAAATAGTTACTAGTATAGTCGTACTTAATGCATTATCAATGATCCATATCAAGAAGACAAGTAAACTCATGATGATGGCAAAGGCACAAAATTGAAATTTACGGCCAGTACGATTAATTAGTAGAATACAAGCTATTGCTACTGGAATAGCTAATAAATTACCAATTATAAGATTTGTTAATACAAATCGCAAACGAGAACTACCAATACAAAATGTAGTAACAGAATAGTTGCTACTAAGGGAATGCTCGATCACACTAGAGTTAAAAGAATTATGCCAGCAAGAATGACCTTTAGAGTAATAAGAAATTATTACAGGCCACCATTGAACTAATCCTTTAAAAATGAAACAATATCCAAACCAGCCAACTGATATAACAATTAGTCTTTTAAGCCATGGCCATTGAGTTAGGGTCGCAATAGTTTGTCTTAAAGTTGTTGCAGTCGTACTGATTTGAATTTTATCCATATTTTTAGCAACGCAATAACTTAAAAATGCATTAGTTTTTAAACGATGCCATGATTTTTTCTTACAGTAACAAAATGCATTAATCCGATCTATTTGATTGAAGATTTGCACAACTTGAATAGTATTTCCTCGTTTTAATGTAAATCTTAAACTATTAGGTAAGAAAAGAAGTGAAAGAATCCCTATCAACATTGGCACAGTGCAAATAATAAAATGTAACCGCCAACTTGTGAAGTAGATTTCTCCTATTGAGTAATAAAATCGAAATGGTAATATCAGGAACCCAGTTACATTGCAATAAATATTACCAAAGATGACAAATGAAGTCATGCAAGGAACTGACAGGCCACGATATCGTTTTGGTAAAAATTCGACCATGTACGGATGGCAACTTGTTATGACACCACCGAGACAAAATCCATTAAGAAAAGCCAATAATGCAGCCATCAGATAATTGTACGAAAATGCCGAAACAATCATAATAATGATATTACAAGATACAGATATTAAAATTGTTTTCCGTCTACCAATATAATCACTTACGATTCCGAGTACTAAACTACCAATCATCATACCTATAGATAAGGATGAGCCCACCCAACTACTATTGCTTATCGTAATGTGTAAATCACATGCTGCTACAATAAATGAACTATATGCGTTTAAAATGATAGTAGCAGTGGAATAACATAATCCACAAGAAATTGTTACAAAGATGTGAAAGAGTCCCACTACTGAAGAATTCACGATATCATCGATGCTCAAAGTACCATCTTTCGCGGTGAGGATACCATCCAAGTAATTTTCCTCTGCTTCATGATCGTGGCTATCGAGTAAATATGTCTTATCATTAACGTTATTTTCATCATCATTAGAAAGAGCTTCTAACGGTTTTATGCGGCGGGCTTGTTTATCAATATCAGCCATGATGCGTTTAAACTTGAATATAAGTAGAAAGGTATAATTGTATAATAGTTTACCAATTCAAAGTGTTGAAGCTTGTAATACCATTCAGGTTGATTAGGGTAGCCATTTAAATACAGACAGATAAAGAATGCAAACTTGAGAATTTTTCCTAGAGTAAGGCTAATCAACTTGTGAATCCTGTAAGTATACAATAACGCAACGGAAGTAAGCAATCACGGCGACCATTATATGCAACCTATCACAGTAAATACTAAAATTATTCTTATCCTTCCCTCGTCGATAGGTTGGTGGAAGAGTAAGCCCTCTATATTGAAAAAGAACTGCAGCGAGAAAAATTAATCAACACTGATCAAGTTAGAATAATTTAGCTGAAAATAACTCAAAAGATTGGTAATAAAAAAATATTTCAATTTGGGCCAGTGCTACCTAATTTATCATTGTTATTTAAATTTTACAACTATATTATGTGGTGTCTCTGGAGACTAATAATCGCAACTCATATACCACACATAGTTTCTAATTGTTCTACGTAATAAACTGAAGCTGCTATTCATTACTTGTTGGAAGTTTAAGCGAAATGATCAAACTTTACAGCGTTGCCACTGCAATTACCGATAGCAAACTTGTGTATTAAGATATGGTAGAGATGGCTGGTTTAGAAAAGTTTTTTGCGACAAGGGTTAATTTATTTTATGTAGTACATTATTTTAGAAGCCACAGTCATTAAGCAACCCGATAAAAGTTTAAATTATTAACATTTTATTCTAATTTATGTCGGTGGAATGATAGCGATAGATAAATTTGTTGTTGTAGGCAAGGTTTATTCAATCAAAAAACAGATATAATGATTAAATTGTACAGAATAAGTGCCGTAATGAATGAAGTCTCATAGCTGCTAGCTAATAATTAATAGTTCACTGAACTTTCATAATTCATGAATTCAAGATAATACAAGATAACGTAATATAAGATAACGCAATGTACGATCAATAAGTCAATTCCTTGAGCCACGTATCAAGGAACGATATCTGCACTATCAGAAACACTTTTGCTCTACTAGCAGACTACACAAAGACTTAAACGCCTCGTATTTTACGTTAAACACTAAGTTTGAGAATCCACTTTATTACACGATATACTGCATTTATATACTATTCCTCAATAGATCATGAGTCATAGTTAGTAAGATTAACTTTGGAATCATGTACTGAATTAGATATTAATTATAGCTACTGTTCCCTTAATACAGACAACGGTATTTACGAACATAGACATCTGATGACTAATACAGAATAGTCAGATTACGATATGTCCTATCACGGAACATTTCCACGATAATTTACAATCTACCATAAGTAAGTTACAATCACAATGATTCGAACTGTAAGTAGATGATTTGCATTTCCTATTATAACTATTAATTCAGTATGTGTATATATGTCTCTTTCATAAAAAAGTCAGTGCTATATTAAAACACAGTATATCCAAATTAGAAGTAAACTAAATAAGGATAGGCTAACAGGATTATCCTAACATAGATATTTCTACTCTAATACAGTATATAACACTGTCACACACTTATATTAATATCTATCGTCCATTATTTATCAACATACATTAGTTAATTATTAGTATAGTGAATTCATGAATTAATATCCTATTTCTAGTTCTATATTTATAATATGACATATAGGTGCCAGTGTTATTCAATATGTTGTTGATTTATTTTGATTACCATTTAAAGTAGTAACACGTAAAAAACAACCTATTGCATTTAGTTTAATATTTGGCTATCTAATATGCGATAGCTGTATTTGAATAAGCTAAGGAAGAGCAGTTATCACCATCATAGTCTACAGTCAAATATCACACTACTTGAAATACATTTAGTACTGTTATGACAAAAACATTGTGGCAAACACAATTTTGGTGTATTGGTTAAATGAGTAAATCAGTTATAATTAGTTGTAAATTTTAAAGTAAATATTTCTGCCAGATTATCTTAAAAATATTTCAAGACAGAATCGAAATTAAACTACGATGGATTAGGATCCTGGTTTATGAAAACAAGTGTCGAAGCATGTGCAGAAAGTATAAAATGATATTATGTGGATATATTCTATCACCTCTCTAAATTTAAGATTTACAACTTATAACAGTTTCGATACTCTAATCACATTATTTATTACTCCATAGCTTATCTATAGTTTTATTTGCACATGATATTTTTATTGCGATATCCACTTTTACACTGTGGCAGAAACTATACATGATTTCTGTATCTCTCGACGCTTATCCGATAGTTATAGTAAACAATAAAATTAATGCTAGAATGGTAATGTTAATATCATTAACTGCTTAAAACCTATTCTGCTACTTATCACATCAGTAGTTAATTATATTCAACCTTACGACACTAATGCAACATATTTATTAATAATTTTCTGTATCCCATCTTGATAATTACATATCAAAATATTCTTTTCGAAAAGGAATTGCTAGCTTAAGTTAAAAATAAACCTCTAATTTCCTAAGAATAATTTTAAAAACTGGAAATGGTAACTTCTGCATAATTGTTGATGAAAGCGCTGGACAAGGGCAGTAAATTAACGATTGGTATTAGATATAAAAGCTTGATGTTCTTGGAATATTGATCATCCTAAAACTTGCTATCTATAGGAAATACTTTTACTTCGCAAGTTTCCGATCTGTATACCCGTATGCTTTTAATTCTAAATCCTTTGCGAAGTTTTGAACGGAACTAGCGCTATACTCTCCAAGTGCTTGACAAAATCGTATGAAATCTTCAACGTCACGCTCGACAGATAAGATGTCGTATATCTTCTGCGATTTATCAGATTTATGGATAGTGTGTTCAATCTCGGTAATTTGTCGATCACTTAAAATTCCTCTTTGCCTTAAATTATTCAAGAAATTACTATCCTCAGCTGGAACACGGTCAATAAAAGTTTTCCAGTAATATTCTAAAGCCTTTCTAAAATGTTGATTTGATAGCTTTGTCCGCAACTCGGCTACAATGTAGAAATTATTACACAATTAGTCATCAAAATGTGCATGATGAACTTTTTGCTTTATACAGCTAATATTAGTTTGCCTATCGTAAAGAAATCAAAAACTGGCAGAACAAATTACTCGAATCCATTAAAAATATTTGAACGCGATCTATAGTACTTAATCTTAGTTTAAAATAGAATTACAAACGCATTAATAATATTTTCCATCTGTTTATCCCATGAATTTATCAGCCCGTAAAATATAATTTGATCGATACGCATTTTGATACCTCTACTTTTAGTTGCGTCTCTTGTTCCAATAGGATTATAATTATTCGTGGCTCCTTGTGTGTCATTTACTGAAATGATAGAATAAATACTTTCAGTAACATTTTTGCGATATCTTTATAATATTCAACAATAGGCTCAATCAGATTATTCACCTGATTCTTTAATGAATCAAGCTATCTTATAAATAAAATTTGATGAAATAACAATTTTTTACCTTTACTTGCAGTTGAATCTGTAGTTTGAATAGGATTATTACTAGTTCTAGACTTATTGTTCGCTAATAGACGGCCATTTATGTTTTGATGATCATCTTTTTGCTTATCTTAAAGCATCCAAAATAGATGTCACTTTTAAACTTATTTTAAATTCAGTAAACATAGGGTTAATATTAAAATATTTGTTAAATTTGAGTAGCATTTTAATATTGGTCTTGAAAGTATTTGATATTAAATTAAGCTGTAACATAATCATAGAGAATAGAGATACCGATCATGCTGGCAATTTCTGGTCTTCTTATGGCTTGTAAAGCAGCCTTTAATCGTCTTTTCGTAGCCTCATCCTTGTAAATTTCTTTCCACTTTTCTAAGAATGCATGTGTTCTATCAAAGTCGGTCTCATTTTCATCTTGAATTCTTGTTATGTCAATTTCTTTACTTTGATCTAGCATGTCAGCTAGTTTAGTCCAATCAGACTTGAGTTCTTGAGCAACAACAAAAAAATATTCGCTAATATCTACACAAAAAAAAATCGGGATTAATTAATCTGTTATAACTTATTTATAGCTTCAATCATCTCTGACATACTATAATTCTTGGGCAAAAATTATGATTCAAATTAATCTAAAAAACGATACCTGTACTACAATTTCTAGCAGGATACGATCTATTGTCGACTACTCAAAAATTAAAGAAGAATCGTTTATTAGAGACTGTATAAAATTCTTTATCAGTTAGCTATCTATTTCTTGATTATACCATATTAATGACATTGTACTAAATAATGGTCAGTTTGCCTTTATGCTATCGACCATCTAGCTTATCAGAAGCAACTCCGTTTATGATGGAATATGTAGCAAATCTTGATTAATTTAAAGCGGTAGGTTCCTCGTATTACAATTCCAATTATAGCTTTACCGGTACAGTATATTGCAAACCGATATTAACAATAGCATGTTATTTGATTTTACTCGCTATTTTTTACGTAATTCTGCTAAATTCTAAAATTTTACAAAATCCTAATCCGCTACTTATTGAATATTACATTGAAAATCATTTAGCTCGTATGAAAAGTGTACATTACATTGACTAGATTTACTATTATAATAGGATCATGTTGAGCATGTACGATAGCTGTTTTTCACGTCTTAAAATACTTTAGCTCTAGCTCCAAACAGATATAGAGTAGTAAAATTGTCGGCGCCGACGTTCAAGTTTGATTTTAATTACTCATGTCTATAAAGTGAGCGGATTTATAATATGCTATTTAAGCAATTCTATTCTATATTAAGGAAGCCATTTCAATGATATATGGCTTTGATTTCGATCTTTAGCGCATCCTTAATATAAATATTTAAATATTGGGATATTTAAGTTTTGAATGACTTTTATCTTTGCTAATTTTGTATCTAACCTTGATCTCTGACACTATCAACCATAGAACGATCTTGACAGCTATCATTTGTATTTGCTTCCAATACGATACATTATAGTTATCGCCAGATTGAAATAAATTAAGAGAATTGTTTTAGTCGGTACTGATCTATTCCAGCTTTACCATTTCAACTTGTTAAGAAACGATACTAACAATCCTACAGTCATTATTACTTTAAATTTTTGGGCTAGTAAACAAAATTGTCAATCAGCATAGGAACGAAAATTTATCAAGACTAGTAAGCGTTGATACTAACATGCATAATTTACATACCAGATATTGCTACAGTTTTACAGGGAGGCATTGATTGAATTTTTTCGGCTGTGGCACGGCAACCAGCCAGATAGAGCGCTTTAATAAGCTCTAATTTAGTAAAGCTGCTACCGCTCCTTTGATAATGTGACTGCAACATTAATGTACATTGCTGTGTAACATTACAACGATTGTTTACGTCGATAATTTCCAATTGGTTATGATCAATGTTTAACTTCCTGCCCAATTTCTTCCAATTTGCACTACATTCATCGATAATCTTTTCAAAATAGAAATTTGCGGCTGTCATAAAAAGATAAATATCAATTGAATTTCTATCAGTGATCTTCTAGAAAATGTTGCTGATTATATTTCAATTTCATTATGATAGCGAATGATAAAAAATAAATTATTTGATTAGCTTTCTTTTAATCACGATTTATTATGATAACTTACGTGAGTTTGGATAAGTTAAGGTGACGTCCACGATGGTATCGTCGAAGTTACGAATTGCAACTTTAACAGGTTTACTGCTAATCTTGGTATCTTCCATTTCTGAATAAAAAAGAGCGATAATTGAAATTTTAGCACATAGCGATACAGAATTTCTGCTATGGTGACTGATATTTAAATCATATAGCTAGTCACTGAACCAGAGCTCTACTACATGCATATCCAAACTGATAGAAGAAAAATCGATTGGCGCCTTTACTCTAATATAACTCATTTTGCAGCTGTACCACCATCAGGGACTACTAAACTATAAATTAAATACCATGAAAATATTATTCTGCTGGCGATGTTTAGATATACGCTCCTGTAGTTTACTTATTAATGAATCTTCTAAAAATAACGTTTAAATAGAATAGTAGCTCTCTAAAGTATTCGATGTCGTCTATGATTAATTATCATTTATAAAGATATGGATCAATTTCGCGTAATACGATTTACCACGGCTAGTATCATGATTTATATAGCAAGTATGCTGCAGTAGCAGCATACTTGCTAGTTTTTAATCGTTATTAGATTAATGCCTCTTTATTACTGATATTTAATTTTCATTTTATAGCTTAGTCAGCTATGTATCATAGGGACATTGAAATAGCCAAAAGCGTCGCGATGTACCCTATGTGTTGAATAATTTTACTTTAAAAAATAATCTAACAGAGTAACTAGCGGAATGAATAAAAATAATTCACACCTAAAGTACCACTAGGACAAAATCATCACGAAATTAAGCACCTGAAAATGCCAAGCTATAACAAATAGCGTATATCTCCTACATATTGCTTTTTATACTGTCGATGTTTCCTTACTAATATTCTCGATCAATGCTACTGATATACTAAAACAAGTATTTAATCGTAATCTAACAGTAAAGATTTACAAATAGAGCAATCACTTGTAAACGATCACACCAACTTGCATATTTTAAGGCTAAGCGTAGTATAATTTAATTTATTATAAAAGGTTATGTAAATGATCACTGAAGATTGGAATGATTTCTGCAATACGCTAACTTAAGAATTTTTAACAGCAATTTAGTAAATCAGACCCTTACACTGATTAGTATTCTAATGTAGTTTTCAATGAGGAAATCATACGTTGTCGTTCTATTGACAAGAAGCTGCTATAAATCGTTCAATCTTTTAGGATAGACACACCTAATTAACTTTGGACGCGTACCTCGCTGAAAAAGTTAAACTAAGATAGTAATCTAAATTGAATTAATAAATTTAATCCACTTTGTAAAGATTTCTTAAATTAGTTAATAGGCAGTAATCGGTTAACAGAATGACTACTAACTACTAAATCTATATGCTAATCATCAATGCTATAGCAAATAACGGTTGTGGAAAGGCTAATCAAGTAGAAACCATCACATTTTAACAACACGATTTTAGCTTTCATTCTGGATTGAACTAAACTAGCTCCTGCCAAAATCTTACCTTGTAAGCGCTGGCGAATGGATGGTAATGCCGAATTGCAACAGTCAAGTTCTCTAATGATAGACCGATTAATGTGGACGCTCAATAACTATCATGGATTCTTATGCAATTGATACATTATCCAGTGAGACTATGGCATAGACTATTTAATAGTTGACTATTATAGAAGATAAGGTATGATTTATGTCTATCATTCCATGCTTTAAGTCTACCTACACGCTTGCGTAATGAAATTCATGCAAATTGAAAATAAATTACAACATGCAGATTAAATTTTGTAAGAACATTTCGAGATAAAGATGAATGAGAAACTTGAAGATGAAGAAATAAAGTAATGAAAAAGTTGGTTTATCAAAGTTTTGTTTACTTCCAATCATGGTAGTCATAGTTAAGAATAATCTAGATCACATCCTTACTGCATTTTGATGAGATATTCATAGATGCGCGATTGCAAGCATGCACAGGCCTCTTAGATTAATCGATGGACCAAATTGGAAAGAGTAGTTATTATAGCCGATCACCTCGAATAACAAACTATTTCAGCTTATAAAATCATTTATAGGCGTTAATAAGCATAGCAATGAAATTAGTAGCAGTTTTCAAATAATAGCATGCTGAAATTTATACCCGGAATAAAATTTAAAGGATGGTATAAAAATGAGAAATTTAGACCTGAAAGAGTACAGAAATGGGTTAAGCTTAAAGCCAAATTAGTCAGTAAAGTTAAGCTTAAATATGCACTTTAATATAGTTGATTGATCAAGTTCAAATAGAAGTTGCTATAATAGATAGCCTTGAATAGAAATTCAGCTGATAATGGTATATATAGACTTCAATGATAGATAGCAAATGTAGATTAGAATATCTAATAGAAAGTTTGCATTATCAAATCCATACCAATTTAATTATTACTTTGCATAATTACAGATTAACATTATGAAAATTCATGTACGATGGTGTTGATTAGCCTGATTTAAAATTCTTAATCCCTTTCAGCCCAACGAAACTGACCCTGGCTGAAAATAACGATAAAATGACTTTATAGTGTAATTCCGTAAGATTACATAAAGAATGCAAAAGTTTGAAGATGAACCAAAATATTGCTTGCTAGTATTACTATATAGATTACAAGCAATATTAGCTTATCTTACTACAGTAATTACGAACTTTCATATTCTTTATTAGGCAGTATTATCGAACAAGGTTATGCTTACTTTGACTTAGTGCAGCCTATACTGCTCATTATGTCTTACTTTTTAACAATCTGTTCATGATAAGCTGATAGCCAACTATCATGAAATAACGAAAATAATGATCATTCTTGTTAAGTGTCTGTTTTAAAATACAAGATAAAAGCACAGAGTAGCGATGAATAGATGATCATCTTCTCTTACTATGATCATCATCATTTCGTCAAACAGAATAAATAACAATTCGTATTTGATATATTGCAAACTTGAATATCCAAGGAGATTTATACAGAGTTTTTAGAGTACTTGTTTAACCGATTGTGATATATACCAATCACGAAATTCCAAATTTTAGAAAAATAAGGGCTTTATTGAATCTTATACAAAGATTAACTACACAGCTCTACTCTAGCCGAATACTACTTCTAAAGACTTCTACAACGAACTAACAGAATAATCTAAAGTTGCATGCTTTTATACTTTTCGTAGCATTCGCAGCTACAATCCGCATGGCAACCTTTTACCTTATTTTACACATAGTTAAATTATTCTTAGTAAGACTATTCTACTGCGGCCCATCATTAATCCAATATGGATACGACTACAGTACTTACGTAGACATTATTCACACCAGCCAAAGTACAATGAATTAACCATATCCTAATATATGATTTACAGTTCTATTTTTACCTATAGCCATATTAGTAACTCAACAGCTTACTGTATATAGTCATCTGTACTCTAGCATAGAGTCTCTACCACTACAGTCTATAGTTACAGCTACCAAATATCTCTTAGGATAAATATCTACCGTACATTATACTACACATGGCTAACAGTCTACAATCACAATACTAAGTTACATTACACCGATTTAAGATGGTAATTTATCGTCTGTTTACAGTAGGCTAAGATTTAATTCTATTTGATGCGCTTATTGCAGAGTAACTTTGGCATAGCTGGCTTAACACAGTTTTCACTAGATAATTTATCTTGGAATGTGTTTATATTGATTTATCTATGATGTTTGACATATTTTTTAATAGATAACTATATAGCTCGATAATGTTATCTAAGTACTAATTATCATAATAAATGTTGAAGTAGATTTACTTTAAATTGACTGATTCTGTCAATAAAGTTCAGGTTTAGTTTTGTCTAAGCGAGAATAATGGTGTTACAGTTCCTACTAACATTACAAGGTTGCCGTATCACAGTCGTACTATAGGTAGATATCGGAGAGTAAAAATCTGACAGTAGACTACTAGAGTTATTTTTCTGCAGTGTTTTAAATTTCATCGCCGCTACAAATTTCGATTTACAGCAACACTTTAGAGAATATTGAACTTATTTGATGCTTGGATACAGTATCACTGGGCCATGTTATGATACAGTAGCTCATCAATCTACGTGTCGGCTAATTATTCAATTAATAAAGGCTATAAAAAAATGATTTTAGACTGAATTTTAATTGCAATAACGAGTCAATTTAATTCAGAAAATGTCAACGCCCCAAATCCAAGTTGATGCACTTGACCAATTTATAAATATAAGATCAATTTCTTATCCATCCATCTTATGCTGAGGTATTTAAAATGAAGGATAAGACTTATCGATGCAGCAGTTGAATCAATTTATTTAGTTGGAAAAAAATTGATGGAACCGATGAGTAACAGAACGCAAAACTAATCTAAACGAGTAACAAGATCAAGACTAAGCAACTCTTCGAATTCATAGAATACATATCATAGGCCTTCTGTATCGTCTATTGTATGGAGAAAAATGCTAGTAAAAATAACTTATTTAAGTCCATAAACTGTTTAAGGCTCCTGATATAAAATTAACACTAACGTTGATGGTTGTATAAGCAGCAAATAAATAAAGTCACAGCAACATACCAACATGGTAGGCTTTGATATTACTGATCTGAACACGCTATGGTCATCGTTGAACTTATTTGATGCTTGGATAAAGCATCTACTAGGATAAAGTAATTGGCTAATCTATCGGTTGGCTAGAGTTGTTGTCAGTGCTACTAGACCGAATTTTGAATACTGTAGCGAGCGAATTGGATTCAAAATGTTTGGGTAACCCATCAAAATGATTACTCTCCATTAGAAAATAAAACGTACAATCAATTTCTAATTTATCTCATATTTATCACAAACATATTAGCCCTTCATGGAACATAACTTTGTTCATTAAAATCTTCCTTTGCTTCCGGTTAACCGAATATCTCATTTTCAAAGGCTATCTTTAAAGCCATTGCAATATATATCACTAGAATTAAATAACTGTCAACGATCAATCAGTTTATATTTTGTTTTGATAATAAGGATCATCGTCGATGAAAGAGGAGGATAATAATTTAATTTACACAATGATATAATAAAAGATTACCAGGTTAATTCGAC